AAATGACCAAGACAACTCGGTGACAGTCTTAAAACAGCCGCAAGAAAATCATGTAAAAGCTTGCCCAAATAAATAGGTTCTTAGCTGGCCTTTGAATGAGTCAACAGACTCCATCAGCCGCAGAATATCGTTCCAGAGCTTAGGGCGCAATCACCTGGAAGGACCGGTGTCCTCTGCATCAGTACTGCATCGGAAAGTTCCAACCGGGGTTCAAAACCTCGACCTTTTTGGGAAGCAAAAGTGTTAACCGTTTAGCCACCTGCCCTCTGTAGTCCATTTTCCACTCTCAAAGACTAATAAAAGTGATAAGCCTTTTGTGTCTTTAATTGAATAGAATAGATTACTATTCTACTATTCTACTATTATTACTATTATATTGATAGAAAGTGGAAATCTTTCTTTCCATGTGGACATGTACTTTAGACTTAGTTAGCAAATATGATGGAAAATATATGTATATTTTTTTTTATTGGTCTGATAATTGTTGCAGCAATAATTGGTACCACTCATCTACTCAATTAATTCAGCCTGAATTTAATTTGCCGGGATGAACCACTGTTGTCTTTTCCTCTGATATCTCGTGTGGGTAGTTAAGTCCCTGTGCGCAGAAGAAACTCGCTGAGGAGCATCGTGACTCATTGTTGCGGCGGCCCACTCACTCTCACCATCTCTGCTCAGACTTTCTCATTATTAGCCTTATTTAGAGACTCTACGCTCATGTCCCTGGGTTCAAATGCTTTGAGATTATAGTAGAGGTGATTCAAGCTAAGCACAGTTTGCTAATTAGATATTAATTTAGGCTTCCATCATTTTTTACCACTTTTAACACAACAATTATTAGGACCGCACAATATTGACATGATTATATGCAATGCAATTTTTTATTTTGTTCCATGTGAAAAAGTGTAAATGTGAAGCTTTTCCTGTTTTAGCACAACCCTTTTCTTTCTAGTTGACATTTTTACAATGAATCTTTTATTTTAACTACAGCACTCACCTATAAGTACCCTGCTACTGAGATGCGGCCAAAATATTCGCAATCTTTGTTTTCAATCAAAATCACAAATTCAGAAATTGTAATTAGCAATCCGCAATGAAACATGCTCCATTGCTTTTCTTTCATATCTCAGTACTCGACATGATTAATGGGATGAATGGGATTAAACTCATCTTGCTTGGATACAGTAAACACACCTAAACATTTAAGATGCAGTTTATTTTGTGTCGAGTTTATAATAGAAAAGGTTTCCAGTATGTACATATATATTATTTACATGCATATTCAATCTTGTATGCAATAAAAGCAATTGATTTTGTTGTTGTTGTTGACAGCAACTGGGTTGGTGAAGTGTTACTGCTGTCTTCAACTGGCCTGCATGTTATCCTGGTGTCTGCTTCAGTTTCCTCCAGGTGCTCCGGTTTCCCACTCCGGTGGAGTGAATGAAAAATATTTGTACTCCAAATAGGTGACCTTGTTGTGTGATATGCGCTATTTAAAATTACTTACTACTTACGACTATATTATTGTTGAAAAATACTTACTGTACATAAAAGTACAGGATCCCCATGGCCAGAAAAAAACATTATTTCATAAAAAATAAAATCCAATTGAAGTTGCCGACATCACCTTTTTAAGATGCGATCAACTGAAAATGAATTTTGCGAATTTCACTTATTGGGGGTTATTTTTTAAAATGTATCCTCGTGATAAGACCACTGTACTCTTTCTGAGCCTCGCCGCATCGCTTCATCCGCTTGAACCACATCACTTTTCTTTCTCGTTATAACTCTCCTCCTCTGAGTGAAGTCTTTGTCAGTGTGAGCGCTTAAGTGACTGTGATGCAGTGCAATAATGAGACGCCTCACAGTTAATCCTCCTGTGAACAACACTGCAGCTCTAAGCAGCTCCAAGCGCATCTCCAGCTTTAACTGTACAGCACTTTCACAATGGAAGGCACACAGCATATGTGCAGAGAGTGCAATCAGTTACAGGATCCTTCACCTACTTTTAAAACTGCTTCATTTACATGGACATACAGGGCAGGATGTTTGCACATAAACTGCAGCGAATATTCAATGTATTCTAATCCTGGACTGTACTCAGCCTATATTTAAATGTGACTTAAATGCAGAGAAAACTAAGGATAAGGTTTTCAATCAGGGATACACATTTGAATTTTGGAAACGATATTGGAAATGTTAAGGATCGGGTATCGAGAAAGTTATTATTCATTATTCACCCATTTTGTAAAAACTTTGCAGTGATTATCGGGAAAGAAAAATGCTATTTTCATTCCCCTCACTAGTGTCATATTAGCTACTAGCTGACCCAAAGTATCGGTGCATTCCTATTCTATTGAAAAGATAACAAACATGAACAGGTTGGCTTGAACAAATACTGGAACACTGTTCTTTGCAAAGAACAATTTGGTTATCCTAGAGTTTGATTCATATATTGCATAATAATTATTATTTCATGACCATTACCAATACAGACAATGGTGAAATCAAAAGTAAGTGGTATTTTGATTAGTTTCTGGCATTTTTGTTTGTTTTGTTATTAAGTCCCATGAATTTTGTTCAATCTACTTTCTATATTTTTATATTCTATAAAATATATTCTATAAAAATATAGGATCAAATCATTTTAGCCCAAAATACCATGTTTCCCTCCTGAAAAACCCTGCAAACCGATCCAGGACAGTCTTTTAATAGTCCCAAGAACCCTGCATTAGCCATGTGTGCGCATGGTGCCCGATGTAATGTAACGTAGTGCTGACTCAGGCTGCGTGCGTCAACAGCTGCTGCCTTCAAGAGAGGAGGAAGCGCCTGGGGAGGGGGAGGGCGCATAGCTGCTGTGTGGGAGAGTGAATAGGTTAGATTAAAATAGAGTGGTACAGATTCATGCTTTCTCCTTTTCCCATCATGCTCACTGTTCATTGATTTGACATCTTTGTGTTTCCAAAAGTAGATTTTTCAGACTTTGTTGTCCCAAGATAGTTTCTAAATAAAATGCTATTTATAAGCATTTAGAGCCATTGAATTTTCTTTTTTCACTTGGACATTACTTAAGAATGATAATGTGGCATAAATTAAGTGCAGCTTTGTGGAAGTATTGGTTTAAATTGTAACAGCAGACTTTGAATTGACATATGAGAGGGGTTGCTTCAGTTGTAACAGTAGGAGTTTAACCAATAGTATAGGGTAGGGCTGGGCGATATGGCTGAAAACTATATCACTATATAAGTAATTCTTATCGGTCGATAACTATATATATTGATTATTTATTTTTTATTTTTTTACCTGAATAATTAAGTTTGTGTCGGCTAACACACTTCATCAGCCTTGTTTACAGTCACGGGGGAATGAGGCTACTAGAGGAATATGTTCACAAGCAGTGTCCCCCATAGTTAGCTGCACGAAGGAAAAAGTTCATCTCTTGCTTTCGCCGCATGCATCGGGTCTCCGTGTCCATTGCCTCCCCCGCGCCGTACATGCTATGCCTCGCACGGACATGCGTAACCACTGACACGAAATGCGTAACCACTGACACGGCATTGAAAAACAATCTTAGATCCATGGACGCTACGCATGGTGCAGTTGTTGTTTTTGCATTTCCCAGAATGTTTTGCGGTTCATCCTTGGCTGTGATAGGTTGAGAAGCCTATGCCTACATCCCCTAGAATGTTGCGCGCGTCTGACTAGGCTTTACTTCCTGCGTTTTCTTCCTGTTTTTTCTTACGGAGTGATGTTAAACTCACAAACATTCTATCAATCCCGTTTTCTATTGATATTGAACACATGTCTGTCGCAATATATATCGTTATCGTTTTATCGTCCAGCCCTAGTATAGGGGTGTTACGGTATGAAGATTTAACCTCACGGTTATTGTGAGAAAAATCATCACGGTTTTTGGTATTATTGCGTTTTTTTTTTTTTTTTTTTACTTCTGTGAATATGTTCAGAAAGCATTGATAGTTCTACACAAACTGAAATAGTTTCAAAAAGTGAACAAATGTTAGCTGCAAGGAACATTTGGTTGATAACATCCACTTAATTATAATACACGTAGTGAATGTCACTAAAATGGTTAAAACACACAAGGTGCATGATATTATTGTACCTTCATCTAGCGCTCAAGAATGCTGTGTCATTTCACCGTTTCATCTATTACTGTTAACCTCTTTAGCTTAGCGTATTAGCTGCTAACATGCAGCTAGCTGCAGCTAGGCTGCGGCTGCGTTAACATTATTGACAGACGGATAATCAGACAAATCGTTGCATTCTCTCTCAATCCAAAGTCCCCCCGCATAATCTATTTCAGCTATAACGTTAACTTGCCTAGCATTGGCTGTAGAGTTGTGGGTGATGATCACGCAGTCGAGCCATTGCAGAAACTTTCCGCCCACAGAATAACTGTCTTCCATTAGATGTCCCTCGGCATTCTTTAAAAATCCAAAATATGCCCACACTTCAGACTTTGTCCTCTTTGAAGGCTGATAAATGTCCTAAGGGCTGTTGTCTCCTCCTTCAGTCATGACTCCAGCATGAAAGTGCACCCGTGCCACAACTTCAGCAGAGTCAGAGATGTGGGATACGCTCACAGTGCTGTGCACCACGGGCGTGGTAATCCAGAGATATACCTTTTAAAAAATAAAAAATTAAGACAGTAATTTTTATAACTGGGTTTCACGCCACACTGGTAATCGTGACATCCCTGAAATAGTATTAGTATTTGTGACGGTAGTGGTTGTAATTGTATTTTTAGCACACGCAAGTTTGTACTAGCATCTTGTATTTGCTTTAATGTAATGTTTTTGTTATGCCATGCCCCATAATTCTTAATTGAAGTTGTGAAACTTTGGAAGACAGATCTCAGAGAAACAAATTGACGCCATCTCTGTGTTGGCCGACAGACACAGACTTTTGCTCTGAAGAGTGTGATGTGTGCACTTTATCATCTGGTCCTCTTTTTAACCTCTTGTTTTGTTTTGTATTAGGCGCAGATCGCCTTCTTACAAGGGGAGAGGAAAGGCCAGGAGAACCTGAAAAAGGACCTCGTGCGGAGGATCAAAATGCTGGAGTATGCGCTGAAGCAGGAGAGGTGAGCGCCAGCCCACCCACTGTCTGCATATAAACACGCATACGCACACATACGCACACATACGCACAAATGCACACAAAGCCACACATGAGAACACAGCAGCGACATAAGATATGGCTGATGACACCAGACAACTGCAGTGTTTAAACCTCTGCACACTGAGCACTTTAATGTTATGAGACGAGAGTCCAGGCTTTTCTACTCTCTTCGACTCTTGGTTAAATGCAGCTTTCTCTCTTTTTCTGAGTGTGTTGCAAATGATGAACACATTCATGAAAAAAGAATGGTCAAGAAACATCCATGAAAAACTTGGTATTGAGTAGTACTTGTAGCCAGGAAAAAGAAAACAAAAAGAGCACTATAATTTGATCAGCATGATTTCTAACTACACTTGAGGAAAAGAAAACGTCACAAAAAGAACTGTCTGCACATCAGTCCTGCGGTGTCCTTTTGTTGCTGTGCCCTGCGCCCCTGTCTCAGCTGCTGGTGCAGAGGCGCTAATGGGCTGAGGTGTAGAGGTCCCGGAGACCCCCTCCCTGTGGAAGGAGCTAAAGTGTTTTAGCTCAGAGCGACTTTTGTGACGGCTCCAGTGTTTGTGTGTGAGGAGGATGAGCACAGGACGGACGCTGCAGCGGGACACGACTCCATGAGTCACAGGATGGAATCCTTCACTTCCCTTTGGACAGAGTGTGACCAATAAACACCCACAGAGCTCTAACGGAGGAAGGGACACAGTTTGAACATACAGCATTTTACTGTCGTGAGCTCCTGCGCTCATGACAGTACAGTTCATGAGCTCCAAATATTAAGAATTTGACATGAGGGAGGTTTACTAACATTCACAAATGTACTTTTGGTTGTTTGTAGCATGTAAACAGCAGCATACAGATGGTGTAGGAGGTGAATAGCAGGCGCCATGTGCACTCATGTAAACCTTGGTCGTGCTCTGTTGTTTCCTTGATAATGACATCACGTGTAAAAACATGTTGAGTCTCCTGTGCTGCGTTAAGTCATACTTTGAGGTGTGGCCTTCAAAGTCTTTCCAACCAGACGGTCTAAATCCAAGAGGACTCAGTCTCTATCCCACTATAACCGGCCAATACTTTGATCTGTGGTCTTTTACATTGGTGTACATGCCAATATAATCCTTGCTAAATCAAAAAAGTCCCTCGTCTGATGATTAAATGTTGTGGGAGAAAAGTGTGACGAAGACCTGATGTGAACTTGTCTGTGTAACGAAAGCGACAATCCTACTCAAATCGTGTCCAAACCGGTTTGTGCTGCAGCGCTTTTTCAAGGGCCATTTGACGCCATCGACTCGGCAGCAACTGTTACGATTCAATGGAAAGAACACAAATATGTACTGAATTTGTTGTGACCTAAATATTAGTCTTGTGGGTGTTTATTATTAACTGCTCTTTTTACACGCTCCAGCACATGTAACTGCTGAGAGATGTGATCTTAAGACTCAAACAGGGCACGATTACAAAAAGGAAAAAACCAGTGCATCGAGAATGTTTTTCCTGGAAGTAATATCTAAAAGAATGTCCTTCATTTTTGTTTGCATGAAAAAGATGGATACAAATAATTTAGTTCTAAACAACTACTCGTTTAATCAATGGATTAATCACTACATTGATCAATTCTCAAAATAATTGTTATTGCAGCACTATTGTTTTGAATACTTATTTACTACTTGTACTTGCATATTCTGCTACTGCTTGACTCTTGCTGCTGTACATGTTTTTACCCCTGAAACGAAGTATTTTGCTGAAAGCTGACAAGAAATCACAATTCCATCAAATGCCGTACATGAAAGTCCTAATACTTCTAGTGTAGGTGAATGATCATCATGTTTCTTTGGAGGTTCCTGTCATAAATGTGTGCATTAAACAGAAATGCTGTTTCCTAGCAACGGGACACAAGGGTTCAGGTATTAGAAATTAAATTTTCAAAGTCTGTTCATGGTCCAGAATTTTCAGTGAGATTTGTCCTTTTGGATTATTGGTTCCTTCCTCTGAGTGGAAGCAGACTGCTCTAGTTGTTGTTGCCATACAAACATTTTCATACCAAATAAATAGATTTGATATTTAGTAGAATTTTCAATACCACAGCGATGCTTTGGAAGTGCTCTTTTTCCAACAATAACCTATCATTTTCAACTTAGTTTCTTTCTTTCAGGCTTATATAATCATATGCAATTGTACATACTATAAGCTTACAAATCAGTGATGCATCGATGAATCATTGCATATATAGCGGAAGCACAAATGTCTTACTTATCAAAGAGAAACGCTTCTCTCATTTATGTATACAAAACTTGGTTATTTCACTTTAACTCCCTAAATCCACTCTAAATGGAGTTGGATTAATTTTGTATATAATTACTATTTATGGTAAAATATGGTTTGATACTATATTTCTAATTGTTTTTCCAAATATTGCTCAGAAAATAAATGACCCATTGGAAAAAATTGCATAATACAAAGAATGTGTGATACTGTACTGGTATGGGGTATCAGTGCTGATATTGGACAAGTTGTTGGATGGGGTCAGACAATACAATTGCATTAGTGTTACAAATACAAATTTGTTCTGTTGTTACTTCAGGATAAAATCTGAAATCACGTTATGATATTCCAATCTATTTAGTAGTGCCTCGCTCTAATAGACGGTGGATCCGATTAATATGCTTGTTTTTCAGAATGCCCCAGATTTTACAAAGTCTCTTGAGCTGCAGTCTTCAGCTTGATTAGACAGCCGTCATATTTGTTGTGACATGAACTCCCAGAGATGGTGCCTCGTGCAAAAGCTTGTTATTCAGGAAGAACTGGAGTAAAATATTAAGAAATGATTGTGAACCATTTCTTCTTATGAACAAAACAATCAAATGTTATTCAAGTAAAGTTGTTGATGAGGAAAAACCCACATTTCTGTATCAGATCGTGGCTTTTTTTTGTAAGAACAAATAGAAGTCTACAGCAATACATCAGCAGGAATCAACAGTACTGTCACATTTATAAACTAAGAAAGTCAACACATCCATTGTCCGCACATTGCTAGTTTCAATTAAATGAGCAGAAAAGCATTCCTAGAAACTACTCTATTTTGCAAACTCAAACAAGTTTCACTGCTCTCTCATGTCGAACTTTGCCAAAACATTCCCTTTTTTCACCATGTCTAAACCTGGCATCCCTCTGTATATTCTAATGTTGGAGTGAACATTCCATGGCAGCACAAGACTTATTGACTAAAGATTGTTTTTAAAAAGAGAGAAAGCGAAAAGTCTGTAAACATTGTCGTCTCTCATTAAACAAAAATGGGAATATATATATTCCTTTCAGCCAATATATTTTTGGCTTGAAAAACTTGAATTTTATTGCAAAGTGTCTGTGCTAATACCTTTTTTGTAATGTATTTTTTGGTAATGGTCTTCTTTAATGATGCTCCTTCAAACTTTATTTTGCTTCTTCCTCAATTGTATTTGCTCACTTGTTTATTTTTTTTTATGCGATTGTCTTTCAGAGCAAAGTACCACAAGCTAAAATACGGAACAGAGTTGAACCAGGGCGAGGTGAAGCCCCCCACATACGACTCAGGTGAGTGTTCATTCAAACTGAAGCCTCTTGTTTTCCTGTATTTCGTTCTGTAATCCTGTTTTTGGCACATACCAGGAGTGACATGTGAAGGCTGCGTTCATGTCCAATCTTGTCCTTTTTGCATTGGTTACCAGATCAGTTTCTCTTGAACACTAAATGTGGACTTGTTTTATGCGCACACTATCAAGACCTACCAGTTTATTAGTTCAGGGAGGTGACCTTTAATTTTATTGCTTTTTTGTTAATATTGTGTGTATCTGTGTGTGTATCTGTATCACGTGGCAGGAGTAGAATGCCCTGCTCTCATTGGTTACAGCCAGGTAACAGGCAAAATGTGTTAATAGGGTCTGTGCCTATTTGCAATGCACTTTGGTTTGATTTGGATTAAGCAACCAAAATGCATTCATAAAACAGAAGCTGCAGAATGACTTATTTATTTTCTGAAGTATACAGAAGTTATATTTGATAAGAGCCTACATTCACCCTATGCATTTATTACCACTCCTACTCTTAGCCCACACACCCTGCCTTCAATTTTCCTGTAAGGAGATTGCAAATGTATTTTCATTATATCTGGCTCAATTTAAACATGCATAACACACAGAATCTTTAAATGCAGTTCCCAGCCTCCACAGTCATTGCATTTTAGCGTTGAACTTGGATCTATGTTGAGGTGCACAATTCAATTCAATTCAACTTTATTACGGACTCAAGGTCCAAAAAGACAGCGACATCACAAACAACATTAAACTAATGCACAATGTCCGCCGCTTGCTAATTTCTTAGTTTTAGCCGATGCAATGATAGATATTCAAACAAACCTACAATAGATCAATAGAGATGAGCAGCTAAGAGCACGTTCAATGATGACTAATCCTAACCTACTTTTCTGTTCTACTATAGATTTAGATCTGAATTTTACATGGCATAGTCTAATTGAAGGCACAATACTGCTCTGTCCTTGCTATCATAATCTCGTAATGGCATAACAACTTTATAAACAGAGCCTTTGTTGGCGCTAAAAACAACCCCAGGTCTGTTTTGAAGAGTAGAACAATGGTGTAGCATGAGTAGAATTTTCTTTTGCATAATATGTGACCCAAGTGAACAAATTACCACGTTTTCTTTGTGCTTCAGTCATCACCTTGTTTGATCCCAGCATCTCGCCATCGGCTCTGCGTCTGTTTCTAGTTACTGTACAGTGGATTAATTGGTGTCTTATGTTCGAGCCCTCTCCAATCACTGTTCCAGACGATCTCCTCTGTGCCTCGTGTTTATTCATAAGACGCTCAGAGCCAAGTGATGATGAGGAGAGAGCGAGACGATGTTACAGACGCCCACCTGCCCGCCTCCTAAATTTGGCCTGACCCACTTCCACAACAAGCCAAAAAATGTCTTTACTTTTTACTTTGTTATTTTTCTTTTTTTTGTCCCAGATATGTTTTGTGCTGACCCAATTGCCTAGCCAACCCACTTCTTTAAAGCTTCGGTACTCAACTTTCAAAAAAAAACCAACAACAATAAAGTATGCAATGAAATATTTGTAATTCGTTCTTGGCTCCAGTTTTGTTCTATCCCCAGTTTTCACATGCGCGTATTTCTGTCACATCTTTACTTCAGCTTTAACGGACAATAAAGTGGAAAAGAGAGGCCCAACCCCCACTCAGCCAATCCGCTCTCAGCTCAAAAGTGTCAAATAGTGACTCACAGGGCTCTTTCTTTCAAGTATGCAAAGGATGACATATTCTAATTGGCTAAAGACGGCATCTTGTGGTTTGATTGTTCACAACATTTTACTTTTACAAGATGTCTTCTGTTGGAACAAAAAAAATCCTATTCATTAAAGACTTTAAAGCATTGTTTACAAAGTTTAACCAATAAACAAAATGAAATAGAATAAGACAACCTTGTATTCCCTGTATACTAACATGTATAGCCTTAAAAAAAAACATAAAATAAAATCAAAGATATCCACTTGATATTCTACTCTTGCATATGTCCTAAACAACAGCTGTATTATTTCTATATCTCCATGATAATTCACACCAAGATGCACTGATCAGTCTGGGGAGAGGAATTGCAGAACTAAGCTGAGCTCTGACAGAGGAGAAAACATTGTTGACATGGAGCAGCTTCCATTTCCCCACGAGCCGACAGTCTGGCTTCGTACATTAATTGTAGATGGCCTCAGTCCAGCATCTACAGCTCTAAAAATAACCACAAACTGATTTATAATTTACAGTTGTGGCAGAACAGTGGGCACTTTCATAATCGCGTCAGTCACATGCTTCTCATGTTCAGAAACGACCAAACAAATGACTAGAAATAAGAAAATTTAAGGGTTAAAACAAAGTGTTTTGATCACAATACTGCTCCTTTTAATCACATACACATGTATATTACTCATTTTTCTGTTTCTTAGAATAGCATTAAACATATTTACCCTTTGATAAGAGCTCCCTTGTCTGTGCTGATGGCTGAGCTACTGATATTGATATTGAGGTGCAGTAGTTGTAGCACTTTCAGCCTAAATAATTTGCACACAACTCTTAATCTCCGGCTGATGCTATAATAGTCATAAGAAAATGAGTTTGCTTCTGCTGTACCGGGATATTACCTTTTGTCTTTTTGAAAACTTGAAATGCATCTAAATAAAATAAAATAAACATGCACTTCTTTAGTCTGTCCTGCCGCACAAATTTCTCCTGAAGATCATTTATAAATATTGGTCCAATACTAATGATTTTGTCAAAAATGAAAGCTCTCCAAAAATGTTTAAAGAATGAAAATTTACTGCAAAGTAGCGCTAACCCAAGTTAATCAAAAAGTTGATTGATTCAGTAATTGATTGTTTTTTTTAATGGGTTTTTGAATCACACACAGATTGAAACATGAGTTAAACAGGGCTGTATTCACTGCAAAATGATCTAGAAATGCATTCTAAACATGTTGTGCTCCAGTTCGTCTTTAAAGATGTACTCTTTGGCTTAGTTTGGCTTTGTCTAATGTATTTAAAGAAAAATGTATTCAACCACTAGCCTTTCCTGATCTAAACAATAATACCCAACTAATTGCAAAACACATCTCATGTTAAAAATGCATTCTTCTCTTCCCCTCGGGTAGAGTCAGTGGCTTGTACCACTTTCGCTTTGACTCCCATCGTCTCTGCTCGGTGCAGTTGCCAGGACGATCTGATGCAGGAATTTTGTTGTTCAGTGACTTGAGGGAATGTCTTTTTTGTGTCAGCCGTATTTTATATTCTCTTTATTTCCAGATGAGGCCAACGAAAACGACACGTCTGGATCTCTCAACAATCAGCTCTCATGGAAACAAGGACGACAACTCCTCAGACAGTGAGCACAATATATTTTTTTAATCTGTATGACCATTAATATTTAATGGCTCTATTGTTATAGTACCTCGTTTCAAAAAAAGAAATTTATTTTTCAAGAGTGACAGCAGCACACTGAAGTGGACACTGAAGGTCTGAGTTCATGCTCATTGTAGTAAACATGTTGCAGCCTTACGTAACAAAGTGTGGTGCAAAGCGCCCTCTATTGATTACTGTGGGGACTTGCTTGTTGGGGTAAATAACCCTTTTTGTTTTTTATCTTGCCTTTTAGGATTGGTTGAATTGGTTGAGATGATTTTTTGATCCAATCTGATTTCATAGAATTGCTTTATAGAAAGGTTTTACTTTGTAGGAACCATTTGATACAGAACATTTGTTTTAATCTGAAGGTGTTGGAATTTGTCACATGTAGTATTAGTAAATATGTTTGTGGATTTCAGTCATTCATTATAACAAAGGATCTCCCCCTCTTTTTGCCTCGAAACTGCCTGTGTTTTATTAAGTTTCTAAATCAAACCACTCACCGATAACGAGCAGCGATCTGGCAGCAAAAGCATTTCTCCATCATTCAGGGCCTTCTTTCTCCCCACGCTTCGTCTGTTCCAACACTTTGCTCCTGAAGCTGCAGTTTTCTCCACAAATCTGTGTCGGGACAGATCAATAACATTCAGGACACCCTTCCTCCTCCTACTTTTTCTCAACCCTTCACCCTTTTCTGTTTCTTCTTTATGCATTCACACTAGTCAAAGTTCAGATTTTCTCACCAGTTTAGTCCTGTTGCAGTCTTTAAGTCTTGGTTTTGGTCCATGTTTAGTCCTAGTTTTTTCTGTGTGTGAGAACGTGTGAAAGCAGCGTTTCTCTCCACTGAGTCAACACGAGCTACTGTGAACTAGAGCAGAGCTGATGATAAGTAGGATTTCATATTCTTCATTACTCTGAGTTTTTAAGAGTTGCTAAGTCGAGTGTACAAGAGATTTGTTGCATTATGTTGAAGACTGGATTGGATTCAATACCAGTCAATATTGGTCTATTGATGTCAATAACCAGGATGAAATAAAATATCAATACCTTTTTGCCTTATGTTGTATAGCTGTATTCAGGCCCCTTTTAAACCAGAATTTCTGTTATCCACAAATATCTGCACAGTTGATGAAGGTCTGAAATCACCTGTCATATCCATTATTGATGTCTGTTTAAAAGATTATGCTAACACTAGCCCAAAGCAGAGATCAGAAATTTACACTGTCATCCAGTCAACTTATAGCTTTAGGGTACCTTGCAAATAAAATTGTTTTAGTTGATTTAGTTGTGATCATTTATTAGGCTGAAATAGCAGAAAAAAAGGTAATTGGCGGTGCATAATCTCAAATCTATCGTTTCCAAAAAATATTCATTCACTTGTTATAACAAGCCTTATTTAAAAATACTTCTGTAATAGATGTCGTGGGTCTTGCTGTTGTAAAGTTGTTTTGTAATGATGTATTTAAATGTGCGTATGAAATAAACTCAATTCTACATTTGTCTCTACCCAGGTATCTGCAGGAGGTGGGCTACACAGACACTATTCTGGATGTGAAGTCCCAGAGGGTGCGGGCGCTGTTGGGTTTGGCTGGAGACGGGGGCAGTCGGACGGGGGATTGTCAGACCACTGAGCCTCTGGTCAACGGGACGGACCCAACTTCCAAAGGCAACAGAGGGTTAGTCTCACTCAATCGTACATGTTACCAAATTATTTTATTACTGGAAAAATGATGGCGTGTTAAAATAAACTCTACTACATATTTTATAGTTATACTTTTGACAGGCCCTTTTATTGAATTCTACATATCCAGATAAATATGTTCTATTCAAAAAAGCTTGTTGTATTTCTTTACTTTTTTTTACTACTATATGAATGTTTTAAAGTGCTCACCCCCACAGCTTCCTGGTTGGTCAAAATTAATACAAAATCCCATTGGTTTAACTATTCTCCTCCAGTTACAATGGTAATTGGTCACAATGTTACATACAGCTGAAAGTTGCAAATAAGATTATATTTGTCTCTACACACAAAGGGAGCTGTCGGACACCAGGGCTGTAGAAGACGTCATCAACTTCATCGAAAACGCAGCAGCTGAATTCAGTGACGAAGACGAGGATGAAGACAGCGAAGGCAAAGACAGAACGGTGGAGTCCAGAACGGTGAGAAAATGCATCCGCTGCGTATCTGATTATTGAAGGGATTTTTATTTCAGTGATCTATTTTGTATTGTGTAAATCTTTCAAAATAAACATAGAACTTGACATTGACTCTCTTAGCAACTGTACCTTCTTGTCTGTTATTTAAAGTAAAAACTTCCAACATGTTAATTATACTGAACTGTATTAATTAACAAAATGGAATATCTTTTTCAATATTAAAATTACTTGGCTATTCTCAGTAAAAACATAATAATATTAAAAAACATAATAATATTTAAAAAAAACTTTCAATAAATGTATTAATTTGGTCAAAACACATAAACAAGACAAACCTCTTTCTTAGGTTTTGTATGCAAAAGATGGCGTGTTTTCTATTAAGATAAAGTCATAATGCTCTGGTTTAATTTTCCACATATTCTTTCTCTTGGGACAAAAAAACAGTACAATTTATGAACAAAATGGTTGTGTACCCCTACTTTAATGTGGGTTGGGCCACATTAAAGTAGGGGTACACAACCATTTTGTTCATAAATTGTACTCTTAGCCAGACCCCCAGCTGAAGTGAGTTTGAAACATTGATAGCATAAAGATTTTTAACACATAACTTAATTTATTGTAGATACTGCGCAAGAAACCGACGTCCGCAAACGTTCCGGCAAGTATGGACACCAGCGAGGACCCAGACGCCGTGGAGGCCCTGAAGGTGTTCGACTTCCTCTCCAGTCCTGACGAAATGGACACGTCCCCAGAGTCCAGAGACCCGGGGGACGGCACGGACTGGGGTGAGTGTGAGCGGTGGCAAAAGCATGAGGGAAAACTAACCCACAGGGGAAGGAGTTCAGGACCAGTCAACTTCAAACATGACGCTACATCTATACGCTGCAAGTATCAAACTGTTGGATCTATTGGCTATAAAATGTCTCTTTAAAATTTGACTGAATGCAAAACAGAATCTTATCAGGGGCAGAAAAGTCTTTAATGAATTGGGAAGTTGGTGATACAAAGACATAATTATGCATCTTGCGTCGTCTGAAACGCCAACTGTATTAAATTGTAAATATAGTTTGAGATATCTTGAAAAGTCGGTGCTATGAGCATTGGGTGGCAGCTCTGATTGCCACCCCCCCAAACCAAAAATGGACTAATGAAGGGGTTGAAAATTTATATCTTGAAAAGTCATGTATGTGATTTTGTAGTAGCGACTATATGTGTGGTTAGCATGGTGCCTTTACTTTCCATCACAGTGGTCTCTAAGCTGCTGTAGGATCCATTGTTTGGAAGGTTTTCTTTACTGCTGGACCCAGTACCAGAAAACCGTGATCAAAGTTAAGGCTCCATGCTGACCACTCATATAGCCTCTGCGCCACTACAAGGTCAAATAAGCAAAGATATCAACTTGTTTCACATAAAAAGTTGCATAATGCCCTTTTTAAAAAGAGTACAGTGCAAAATATGTATCGTTACACAAGGCAAGGCAGGGGAAGTAAAAGGCATTAGAATTATAAATAATCACAGCACATTAAAAGAAAGTGAAGACACTATCCTTCATACTTTGCATTTGTAGCTAGTGATGATTTGGCGACAATGTCATTATATTTTTTGCAGTATATTTTTGCACTTTTAACGAACAACAAGACGTGGACCAACTACTTTATGAAACCTATATAATATGACTACTACAACCTTCAGTAGAAACCACTGGACTCTCACTGGACTTCTATTATTACAATCAAATGTAAATCTTTCATTGTGTAATGTTTGTTGTCACCCACGTCTCATGCTGTGGTCATATTCCATGATGTTTGATGTTTCTGTGTTTAACCCATAGTTTGTTCCTTCACTGTTTCCATAGCAGTGTGTGACCACAATGTCTGTTCCCGTGTCTCCAATCAGCTTAATTTGTTTGTGGGAGTTTAGCAAAAGCTCCAACTCAAAGTTGTCATGTTGCTAAATTCAGAACATTCACAATGACTACAGTTCAGTTAATAGAGAAATAGTGTAAAGTTTAAGTGTTGGTGAAAATTAGCATCCAAAAATATTTATATAATATACTGTTTCCTGTCCACATCTTTCTATTTAATTGACTTGCACCAGTTATAATTAAGATTAGGTATGTACTGACTCACAGTCCCGAAACAGAAATCCTGTTATTTATTCTGAAACAATAAAATGTTTTCAGAGCAGCAAGAGTAAAGTTGAACTAGAATCACTACAAAAAGTAATAAATATAATTGTGCATGTAATTTTTTTATCTTTATTTGATTTGCCAACAGAACAAGATTAAAATGTCTTATTACACTTAACTAATAATACTTAAATAATTTGAAAAAAATTAAAGATTGAAGGTGAATCCCTCTATTGCCCTGATGGTGACCTGCCTTTTAGAAAGTTGTCCGATACCTGCCTCTTGAGGTACAACATTTAGAGGAACCGAAGCAAAAAGTGGTTAAGATATCAAGATGTTATTGTTTTGTAAAATAAATAGTGCAAAAACAGCAGTGAATTGAATCCATTGCAAGTAGCTCTAGCAGTAGTAGAGAATTCGTATAGTCCAAGAGCGGTGAATGCAGCAGGAAGTGACCGACAGCTCTGGGTCTTGTGTCCCCGTAGACAAGGAGGAGCAGGGTCCCGTTACAGAAGCCTGGGACGTGGACCCGGGTCTGATTACCAAACTCAAGGAGCAGTACAAAAAGGAGCGCAAGGGCAAAAAAGGGGTGAAGAGTAAGTCCCTGCTGCTCCTCTGAGGCCTCGCTCCAAACTAGACTTCACTCTTCTTTGGTTTTCTCATGCCTTTCTCCAGCTCTTTTACTTTTCTTTGTGTTTTAGCATCGCTGTTTCCCAGGGCTGAACAGTTGGACAGAAACCTAAACATTAACTGGAGTAAAAACACAAAGTTATGAGAGTGATGTTTTTCATTTAAAGCTGCGGCACCCAACATTACAACCACAAAAATATTCACTGTAATACAATCAATTTAACTAGTTCCTAGCGCTCAAAACAGTTTGCTTCTATCACTAGTGTATATATTTTCGGCCTCACATGTAGATCAGCTAGAGAGACCTCCCTGCTCTTACTATAGTAAAAATATATTTTGTATTACCCTTCAGTTATGTGAGAAAAACATCTTTGCCCAGACAAGTCCTGGTAATTTATGTGGAAATGTTAAGCTTCAGTATTTCTCATATTTAGATTATATACATGGCATACATTTCAGACTGCACTACAGAATCCAAAATGTTTTACAACAAAAGGACATTGCATTCACTTGTATAACCTTTACAACTCAATGTGCAATTTCAACTCCATTGTGACGTAATGTGCTTTCCTATTTTCAACCATATTTGTCCGTGGTTTTTGGACAATTTACCAAATTGTCAAATTGTTGAGCCCTGCTGTGTCTTCTGCACTCCTCCGTTCAAACCATTTCCCTGTCTCTCTGCTGCAGCCTTGTCCTTTCAATCTGTGGCATGTTTTCTCCTTGTTTATCCATCATTCTTAATTCATACTTGACTTCATCTTGTCCGCACTCATCTCCATCACCGAGCCATGTGTCAGTTCATAGCCGTTCCTCCATCTGTCTTCAATCTGCGTTGGTCTAAACACATCCTCTCTTCTCATTAATATACCCACCATCTCGTCGGCCATCTTGGTACTCCAGTTAATAGCAATTACATTTGTTTTAATTGAAAGCAATGAAAACAAGCAGAGAGATGTCTGGGTACTAGCAAAGCTCTCATCATTAAGAGCCACTTCAGAAGAGAGTCATTAGATTGAGCGTATGAAACTTTGGCTTTCTGTAAATGGGGCTTTACTGAATCACGCATCGCTCCGAACATCTGATCGAGACGCCATTTTTAACGCTTGCTTCTCTCTGGTCGTGTCTATTTTAGTTTTTCTCACTTAGTTTATCACATCTGAGGCAGTGTGGAGGAGAGAAGATGAAAATGAGGAATGGTTTCTTTTTACGGTCTGCAGGCACATGTCAGTATAAGAAGATACGAAAAAGACATGTATTGATATTTATATTTTGTAAATGATCATTTTATTCACTACAATTGAACTCAAGTCTCACAAATACCTTTTTTATGTCAATATTTGGCATTGATTTAAGCCAAGTTGCATTAATCAGGCTGGGACTGACACAAAAATGAAAGAAAAAAAATTGCTTTTTTAAATAGACCAAATTTACATTTAGTGGTTTTGTATTTATATTTTTTGTGTATATTGTTTTTGATGTGTGCCAGACAGTAATTGAAGAATTTTGTAGCTTTTATTACTCTCCTCTGGTTTAAAGTTACACTACGCGACGTTTCACTCGTTTTGTCACCTGCTTACATATTCAGTATGAAAGCTGAATCAGTTTTGCCTGAAACTCCCTACTCTATTAGTCGTGGTTTTCTTCTTTCCATTTGCAAGTTTTCTTCTATTTTACTGCTTTTTCCTTTTCAGCCTTTGTTTCTCATCCATATAGTTAGCTTCTTCTTCTCATTCTAAATTGAATACAGTACTTGTGCCCAGAGCCACCAGACTGAGACTCATGTTGTCACTTGTTGTACAGGACCGAACCGGTCCAAGCTTCAGGACATGCTGGCTAATTTAAGAGATGCAGAGGACTTGTCCCACTTGCAGCCGCCTTCCGCACCGCAGCCCCGGCCCAACGTGGCACGCTTCAACGAGCACGAAGCCAACAGGACGGATGAAGGTGAGTGGAAACTGATGCTTCAAATACCATGAATGAAACTCGGCTGTGTAAACATTGAAGGCAGCTGTCAAAGATGTAGACAAAGATGCATGTAAATTATTTAAACAAAACAAAATAATCAATAGTACGATTTACTCATTCAGGAGTTCTCCTGAATGAGTGAACACAGAAATAACCCCAAATAACTCAGTCTCATTCCTGGTTGTTGGCAGGTCATTGTTATCCCCGTATTTAGCTTCTTCCGCAGTATGGCAAACACTATGGGTGACGTCAGCACTCGAACACTCCAACATGTGTGGTCTAAAGTAACTCATCCTGTTCCCTTTTCTGATAGACGTTTGTTATATATCCATAGCCTGGATACATCACATTCCAACTTGACAAATCTACCTCCATCTTCAGTTTGCAATAGCAAACTTGTGATTGCTACTTGCTGTTCTGGTCTTCAGATGTTCGTTTATATTGTTTTTGATATAGTCTTCATACTGTGAACAATAAGTACTTCAGTCTGGTTCTTTTCCTTGTCGTCCTGACCCAGTGTTTGCAAAAGCTTCTGCAAATGTTCGAGCTGCACCACCCTCACAGCTGAATGATTCTAAATTGACCTATATAACTTGAAGCATGAAGTGGCTTCAATCAACTCTGTCCTTTCATATGATTGTGACTGTGATGTAGCTCAGAAATCTCTCATTACTCTCCTACTTGTTATTGTACACAATACAATACAATTTATTCTTGTATAGCCCTAGGTCACAACAGAAGTCATCTCAGAGGACTTAACAAAACCATTGAAATCACCAACACAGGTCAGAGAATCAACAGTTAAAACACATGAAGAATACAGTATAAAGCACACACAGAAGAAAATGTCCATACATGTTGTAGAATGCTAAAGTGTCCTGATCATCACCAATCCTTTCTGTTGGACACTAACTGTCCAACAAGACCCTCCTGCATCGACAAGGAAAAACTCTTAAAAAACCCAGTGGGAAAAAGTGAGAAACCTTGGAGGAGAACTAGGGAAACCCACAGGGAGGGAGACCCATATGAGAAAGGGATCCGCTCCTCCGGACGGACAGACTAATGATCTAGGACCTAAGCTAGCTACAGAACGTGGACCAGTGGACGCTGAACGTGGACAGGTCCGGTGCAGGACCGAAGCACTCCCAGGCGGGTCGGGCGGGGCAGTCCGCAGGTGTAGATGGAAGAGGCCAGGCTCAGAGATCCCGTCATCGTACCATGAAACAGACAATGGGACAACGGGTGAATAGCAATGAACAAACTACAGTCAGAATCCTAAAAATGCTAAACAGATAAAGTAGGAAGGAGGAGAGGATAGTGCTCAAGTTACCATACTTCTCCCAGCAAACTGACTCCCTATGCAGCTTGACTAACACTCTGAGGAGTTTAACCTTCTCCGAGTCTTACCTTCCTAGCCATATGCTAAACTAAAGAGGACTGTTTTAAACCTAGCCTTGAATAAAGAATAACATACAGCATAATATATAACATAATATACAACATAACACAATACATTATTGAATAATATATAACATAATACAGCATATATATATATATAATATATACACTACATATTATATATTACCTAATTATATGCTAAATTAAAGTAAAGTGCTTTAAGCCTGGCCTTGAATGTGGAGACCGTATCTGCTTCCTTAACATAAATGGGAAGCTGATTCCACAGTAAAGGAGCTTGGTAGCTAAATGCTCTGCCACCAACAGTGACCTTTGAGACCTTAGGGACCACCAGACGTCTGGCGTTTTGTGAGCGCAACGCTCGACTTGGTTGATACGACACTAACGTGTCTTGGAGATAAGAAGGAGCCAAGCCATTTATGGCTTTATATGTTAAGAGTAGGATTTTAAACTTTATTCTGTACTCCACAGGGAGCCAGTGGGAGTGATTTTAACACCGGAGTTATGTGCTCCCTCCTTTTGGTACCTGTTAAGATCCTAGCTGCTGTATTCTGAACGAGCTGGAAGCTCTTCAAAGAGGCTTTAGGGCACGCTGCCAGTAAAGCGTTACAGTAGTCGAGCCTTGAGGTGACAAACGCGTGAATGAGTTTTTCCGCGTCACTTTTAGGAAGGAAATTCCTAATTTTAGCGATGTTCCGTAAGTGGAAGTACGCCGTTTTAGTTGCTTGGCTTATATAAGCCTTGAAGGAGAGTTCTTGGTCAAAAATGACTCCAAGATTCCTCACAGTGTTACTGGGTATTATACTGACATTATCGAGAGTAACCATCTGGTTAGTGAGGGAGTCACGCAGGCGCTTCGGACCGAGTAGGATCACTTCTGTCTTCTCCGGGTTGAGAAGTAGGAAGTTAAGAGTCATCCACATTTTAAGGTCCTTTATGCAGGCACTGAGCTTTTCTAGCTGATCTGTCTGATTAGGCTTCATCGACAGATAAAGCTGTGTGTCATCTGCATAGCAGTGGAAATTAATTCCATGCTTTTTAATAATGTTTCCCAGTGGCAGCATGTAGAGAGTAAAAAGAATCGGTCCGAGTACCGAACCCTGCGGCACACCGAATTCCACTCCAGAATAAGGCGACGAGTCCTGATTCACATTGACGAAGTGATATCGATCTGATAAATAGGATTTAAACCAGCCAAGGGCTGTTCCTCTAAGACCTATATCACATTCTAGCCTCTGCAGTAGAATGCTGTGGTCTATTGTGTCAAATGCAGCACTAAGGTCCAGTAGGACCAGCACTGACACTTGTCCATTATCGGTAGCTAGTAGTAAGTCATTTGTGACTTTGACTAGTGCCGTTTCAGTGCTATGATGAGCTCTGAATCCTGATTGAAAGACTTCAAACATATCATTTTCCTGCAGGTGGCAGCGGAGCTGCTCAGCTATAAGTTTTTCCAGGATTTTAGATATAAAAGTGAGGTTCGAGATCGGTCTGTAGTTTGTAAGTATTTCTGGGTCCAGGTTTGTTTTCTTCAGAAGGGGTTTGATTACCGCGGTTTTAAAAGCTTGTGGGACATAGCCACATTGTATGGATGCGTTTATTATATTTACGATAGGCTCAATTATCAAAGGAAGTATGTCTTTGAAGAGCCATGTCGGGACTGCGTCTAACATGCAAGTTGAGGCTTTTGAGGATGTGACCACAGAGATCACCTCTGCTTGGCTCACAGCCATGAATTTATTAAGGCCCACTGAAGAGTCTAAGTGGGAAGTCCCGTATGCCGCTTCAACCTGTCCACCACCTGTCCATTGTAGTTGTATTCTGATTGGATTTGTGTGTTTCTTGTGCAGTTGAGGCGCTGACCTTTCCTCCGACCTCAGGGAAGGCCTTCATCATGGGTCCAGACGAGGCCATGGAGAGCGAGCTGGGGCTTGGGGAGCTGGCGGGGCTCACAGTGGCCAACGAAGCAGACAGCCTTGCGTACGATGTGAGTCCAGTCACTTTGTTTTTTGAGGAATACTTTTTTTTTTTCTTGATAACAAATATGCAAATGGTATAAACTGTTTTGGTTGTATTATAGTAGTGTTGCTGCTGGTTTCTTTCAGATGAACAATCTGCCAGTGTTAAACAAAGCTTTATTGATCCCAAGACAGCCTCCTGTGTACAGGCGTCTCTGCTTCCATCAGTGTGGAGTGAAAAGTGCCCACAACATTTGTAAAGCGCTTAGTGACTCAGTCCGTGAAAGGCGCTATATAAATAAAGATGACTTTTTTTACAAAATCACCCACACAGTAAAACACAATAGTCTGTGTCAGAGGCAGACGCTGAGGAGATGAAGTGTGCGGACATTGACTGTGAGGTAAAATCAGATTCAGTTTGCCATTTGCAGTAAAACCACATTAGAATATGTGCAAAAGAACCCGAGTGTGCATCAGACAAGAACATAATATAAAACAAGTTCAAAAGAAACAATTGTCATTGTGAAACCAATCAACAAAAACAGTAAAACTGTTTAAATACAAGTGCACAAGGCTTAAATATAAGCACGATGAGTGAATTCTAAAAGTACCAGGGCAGTTTTATCCGATTACATTAGCACAATTTGAAAGTGTGATGTTCCAAACATTCACTCACTGATAGTATGTTCATGTGACAAACTGTGACTTCATTTTGCACAAAATCACTGCTGTTTGTCTTAGTGCTAACAACAGGATCAATAGATCACATCAATCGATAGATCCTTAGTTCCTGATGTTATTTGACTTTGATGAAGACTGTGCACAGTCTTCATCAAAGTCAAATCAACGACAGAGTTGTCTGTATTTTTTAATAATTTGATATTGTTCCTAACTTGAACTGTTCTGTGTGCGCTTTTTTAAAATTTTCATTTTGTTCCAGATTGGCAACAACAAAGACGCCATGAGGAAGACATGGAACCCCAAGTTCACTTTGAGGAGTCACTTTGACGGGATCCGCGCTCTGGCCTTTCACCCCGTGGAGCCCGTCCTGGTTACAGCCTCCGAGGACCACACGCTCAAGATGTGGAACCTCCAAAAAACTGCTCCTGCTAAAAAGTAACGTCAACTTATCACTTATGTTAGCTTTGAGCCAGGACACACTTTAGACTGTGGTAATGTTGGAGAGAAAACGATTTCTGGTGTTTGTCAAATGAATATGTATCAAAAATAAATAAATGAGGCTCAAATGTAGTGACCATCCGGGGAGAACTTACAGAAGCAGATTTGAAAGTCGTAGGCCAAAGTTTGTGCGCCATCACAACCTAGTGTTTAACAAAATACATTTTTGGAAAATGTAGTTGTTTAATTATACATTTGTTGGAATTCAAAACTTCCCTGACAACATTTTGATTACAGGATGGGTTCAAAGTGCATTGTATTTTATTATGTGTTCTATTCAGTGATTAGAAGTGTGTGTGTGTGTTTGTGTGTGCGGGTGTCATTACTGTAAAAACTTTTTTTCTTCTTCAGGAGTGCGTCTTTGGATGTGGAGCCCATTTACACGTTCAGAGCTCACAGGTACACAAGCACCTCACACTGCTCTTTCAAAGAAGCGAGCTGCATTTTTCTTACTTTCACACAATAAATGTGTGCGACACAGATCCAGGTCTCTGTTTAATTTAAGTCAAATAAGTTGTTTGTTGTTTTTTGTTATCCCCGGGTAGTAAGTCAAACACATATCCATCGGAGAAGTTACTTACATAAAGTTCAAACATCCATCCATCCATCCATTTTCTTCCCCTTAATCCATTTCTGGGTCGGTGGGGTGAGTCAGAGCTGCACCCAGTACACAGAGCACCAGCCCCTCACTGATCCTCCTGCAGGTGGTGAGTCCACAGGAGCCTTGATCATTCAGTGGGAGCTTCAGTCAAAGTGGGGTTAAGTGTCTTGCCCAAGGACACAAAACACATAGTCTTAGTTCAAACATAAGGCTAATCATATATTTAGTAAACAGATGCAAAAGTATGATCATTATCATATAGTTTAAGGTCTCGTTTACATTATTGCGGCCCTGTTGTATATTATGAATAATTTTAAGCCTACAGTAGCAAGCAGACCCAGAAAGACTAAAGAACTAGGGTTGATCATACTCGTGCTTGTCAGGGACTGTTGAGATCGAGATAAAAACTTGAAATAAAACTTGCAATGAACTAGTTTTTTATCTATTATTATTTTGGTCAGCAACAACAAAAAAGCACTTTCACCATCATTACTCAGAATTATACCTGACCGAAAGAATTTAAAAGCTGAAAATGGACAATTCACACAAACAACATGTAGAATGAATAGGTGCCTATCTCTAGTATGTTCTGATCATACTGCTTCATTGTGTGTTTAGGGGCGCGGTGTTCAGTGTGGTGATGAGTGCCACCGGAGAGCAGTGCTTCAGTGGAGGTCTGGACGGGACCATCCAGTGCTGGAACACCCCCAACCCCAACATCGACCCCTACGACTCCTACGGTATTTCTTTAACTGCTGCTGTGCTAAACCACTGCTTTAAAGAAATACTCAAAGTTCATTCTACAGAGAGATTTCACTAACATTGTACGACGTGTGTCCTTTGTTTTTAGGCATTTTTTTAGTTTACTGTCACTGTATTCAGTTGTTCTTGCGTTTTTGGTTTATACATGGACATTTATGGACATTGGTCATCTTGCTAATCCTTTACAGGCTTGGGGGCCATATGCCACTAATGCACACAATCTAAAACTGCCTAATATTAGTTTAAATAAACGACAAAGACATTTAAATGAAACCAAAGCTTAAAAAGATGTGTTGCCTATTTGTTTGTCTGCTCTTGCCTCAGAGCCCTCTGTGCTGCGGGGGGCTTTGTCGGGACACACAGACTCGGTTTGGGGTCTGGTTTACAGCGCGGCTCACCAGCGGCTCCTCTCCTGCTCCGCTGACGGGACCGTGCGGCTCTGGGACGCCAACAACACCACCGCTCCGGCGCTGGCAGTCTTCAACGACAACAAAAGTAAACACACAAATCACTTTCTGCAAACTCAATGTATTTTTTGAATGGTTACATTTGTTTCCAGTTTTCCAATAGACTATTTGCTCTCTATAGACTTCTCATGGACTGTATAGTACTTATAGAATGGTTTTAATGTCCAACTAAAGCCCTAAATCTTCAGTGGGCGTCATTAGTTGAAAGAGGAATTTTTCGGCTATTGGACAATGGCTCAGAAAAGTGGTTCCATTGTCAGAATTATGTTGTGAATTAATTAATTCTAAAAAATACAAATAAACCGTGGCAACCTGGAGAAATACTAATAAAAAAAAAGTCATGAATAGTATAAGGTCTTTTAAGTAAAATATACATGAAAATATGGTTCAAATAAGATAAAACCTCCTGTCAGTGTCCTCCCTGTTTGATGATAATCTTAAACTGAACCTTCTTTTTCATGAATACTTATTAGAAAACGTCTGCACTCTTGAAAGATAGAGCCCACTGTCACTAATTGACACTTAAGCCTGAGAGATTTTTGAAAGAGAGAGAGTACCTTCCTCACTTCCCCACTTCTCTGTCTTAAAAAGCTGAAAGATGTGACAGAGGCTTTTAAACCAAACAGGGAACTCATGACATGGATTTGGTTTTGGAGTTTGTTTGTTTGTGGTTTTGAAAGTTGGGTACCCCAGCTTTAATGCTTGTGTGTTTCAGAGATGGGGGTCCCGTCCTCTGTGGACCTGGTCTGCAGTGACCCGGCTCATCTGGTCTCGTCCTTCAACACTGGAGATATCGGGCTTTTCAACATGGAGACACAGCAGCTGGTACTCAGTCTGGAGACAAACACGGAGCAAGGTACGAAACGTGAAAACTCTGGAATTGATTTGTTCCTTAACTGAATGTACAGTAGCAGCCAGTGGAGATATTAAATGCAGTAATTTGGTGACCCCTAGTGGTCATGGTCAGTGAAGCAAGTAAATTGTGTGATTTGAGTGTGACACAATGCTGTTTTTGTTTGGAACTTTTTCGTTTCTCTGTTTCTGTATACAATGAACCGGCTCTACATCACCACGAGACATTTGTGTTTGTGTTTCCTCAGGCACACCCTCTCACATCAACAAGGTCCTGAGCCACCCCACTCTCCCCATCACCATCACGGCGCAGGAGGATCGACACATCAAGTTTTACGACAACAACAGCGGGAAACTCATTCACTCCATGGTGGCGCATCTCGACGCAGTCACCAGTTTAGCAGTCGACCCCAACGGACTTTACCTCATGTCGGGAAGTAAGTGTTTCAGCCTAGGGCGCTCTGAGGTCATCACGCACCCTCACTCACACCTGTGTCAGTGTGAGGCCTCACCCTCACTCACACCTGTGTCAGTGTGAGGCCCCACCCTCACTCACACCTGTGTCAGTGTGAGGCCCCACCCTCACTCACACCTGTGTCAGTGTGAGGCCCCACCCTCACTCACTCCTGTGTCAGTGAGAGGCCTCACCCTCACTCACACCTGTGTCAGTGTGAGGCCTCACCCTCACTCACACCTGTGTCAGTGTGAGGCCCCACCCTCACTCACACCTGTGTCAGTGTGGATCACTGTGACTCGTTCATAAATAATGATCAGGTGTTGGTCTGTGCCTCAGGTGTTGATGTGTGATGTTTTTTCTGTGCTCAGGTCACGACTGCTCCATTCGTCTGTGGAACCTGGAGAGTAAAACCTGCATCCAGGAGTTCACTGCTCACAGGAAGAAGTTTGAAGAGTCTATTCACGACGTGGCGTTTCATCCAACTAAATGCTACATCGCGAGCGCCGGAGCGGACGCTTTGGCCAAAGTGTTTGTATGACGCTGCGGTCTTGACTCCGCCTCCTTCCATCAGGGACCAATAGAGACACAGAAGGAAAGGACTCTGTCCCTGAGAGAAACAGCTTCTGTGGAGAGGAACTGTCCCCATCAACCATCCAGGCAGGCCTGGGTGTGCGGCCACAGCGCCCCCTGCAGACTCGCCTCCGCCGCTGGAGGCTCAGGACCCTCCCTCAGGCTTCGTTTAGCTGTTCCAGAATCATGGGATTCACTCGGAGCTCTCCCAGACTCTGCTTGCTGGCCTGCCTTTATTTTCCTTTTTAAACACTTCTTGACAAACGTGCCTTTGGTTTCAAAAGGTCTGAGTTATTTTAACAAGCTTGTTCTTTGGGAAAATGGGAGGAAGCAGCGAAAGACATGGAGCTGTTTGTCACAATGTTGTTGATTTTAACATTGGATGTAAAATTACAAATGCTTATAATAAACAAAATATATATTCAGTCTTAAAATCTTAACTGTGCAGCGTGAGTTTGAGTGCTCCTTTGGACAAAGTGTGGTTGGGGAATCAAAGTAGTGCATTTCAAGGAAATGTTAATGGAGTGATACAGACCAGATCAATTATATATTGCCTGTTTGTTAGATGAACTGTATACTTGAGAAATACGACCGTTTGTGTCCAAACTATTTTGGTTATAAAGACAATTCAAACTTGGTTATAGATGTCCATTTTAGGAATAACGGATTTTGGCCAGTTTGCTCTTGTTTGAATTGAATGGCTTGTGCTCTATGTAGTTTTCCCCAGTTGTGTGGACATGCTCCGTGTGGACATGCTCCGTGTGATGTGTCATGTCCAGATATTTACAGTAGTCCAGTGTTTAGCAGGAACCTAGTACTGTAGGACTATTTGTAAAGACTTCAAACTCCATCACCGCAGAGGGGCGACCGCTCAGATAACTGTACAGTGAGGAGGTGCACCCAATCAGATGTACATGTGTACAGCTTCAATGAGCCATTTTCTCAGTCACTGGTTTGTATATGAAAGTATGTTCAAATAAAACTGCTGTAAATGTGATGCTGGATCTTTGCTTTTTTATGTGCTGTATGCTTGTCAAAAGTCTTAATATTTTGGGTAAAATATTTGGAGTAAAATGTTCGGAGTAAAATGTATCAAAACCCACCCACCACTGTGTTCTCCTATTATGGTCAGAGGACGAAGAGGAAATTTACACGAACAGAAATATGGAATTATGAATGGAAGCATAGGCTTCGGTTGTACGATCAGATTTGAAATGAACGCAGTACAATTGTAAATGCTAAGATGAGAGATGAAGAATGTTGTTTTGAGCCCCTTTGGTCAATGCAGCATACTATTTCCATGAAACCAGTAAAAATGATGTTGGTAGTTATTATTTTCTTCAAAGAGCGATGTAAAAGGTTTTTGGGCCACTCCAAGTAATGATGACAAATAGAGCTGCTCCAATGTACTCGGAAATGAATAAAATAAATGGTTTTAAATTCCACCTGATTTATGATATTCATTCAGAATTTACCCACGGTTATGTCAGCAGGTCTTGGTCTGCTCTGTTTGCTGTAAATTGTAAATGTAATATTTCATTCCTCCAAAAGAAATGATCAAAAACCTATGATACACGCTTTAAGTTGTATTCAAGAAAATGTGTATAATTGAGTGAAGTAATTGAGTATGCGTACATTTGATTCTATATAATAATTAAATCAGGATATGGCCTTCATACGTTATTGGAACTTGCATCAAAAGTATATTAGTACTACTAATACTGCTATCCTACTTTACCCTGAGACTATGAATGGAATAAATGTTAACATTTGTTTCTGCTTGGGGCTAACCTGCCTTAAATCTACCACAGGAACTGGGTCTCAGACATTAATGATAGAAAACAAAATCTTCAAACGGTCATTATAATTTTAAGATTTTATTAGAAATACCACAAAATATGAATCAATATTTGAACATCAGTCAAAAGACTATAATATGTACATTTACAAACATAGGAAATATAAATATATTTTCAACAGTAAAAGCTGCAGAGTTGGAAGCAAAAAACATTCTAACCCTAATTGGACAATGGGTGTTATACCCTCTTAATACAATCTGACCAACTGTTTGTTCAGCACCAAGAAAGTAATGCCCTCAGTATGTACCATATATCTCCTGTTATTACAGATTTATACACAAGGACCATTTCACACGTTTAGAGGAAGTGCAAGACGTTATATCTGGTCCCCTCTTTAAAAAGTCATGTATAGTTGTGACTTTTGTATTAATAATTATTTTTGTCACCTTTGTCTCTTTTCATATCGATTTATTTGAACAGTTAATACTAGACAAAAGGAGTGAATCAAAAAGCTCATGAGCACCCCTCAGCCCAAACAACACTACGGCCAAATGGACAGACTTTTAAATCCTAAATTATTACTATAATTAATGATACCACATCTTTATCCCGTCTTATAACAAATCTGTTTTGAATTATCGGACAATTAGAAATCTTCACCAAAAAAGTCATCTGAGACATGACTGTATATGTAAAATCAACTCTTTTACTCATGGGATAACATTGATGATTTGACACATTTGACGCTCCTCATCAAAACGGACTGAGAGTTGACTTTAGGTCAGCTTTTTTTAAATATAATTTGGGGGTCAAAAGCATATTCAACTCCTCCCTCTGGTGGTAGCATAGGGAGTTACAGGCAGAACGAAGTTTGCGCTATTCATACTTGTTTTACCATACATTTTCTAATTTCCATATGTCAAATTCTACATGTGAAATTACAGAGTCCATAATCTCATTATGACTTTAATGGCCAAAGATGATATATAATATTTATTCTATATTTCAGAGCTGAACTGTTTTATGGACATCCTCGCTGTATGTGAAAACGTCTTTAATAATTGCATGAGTGAGTCACGTGACTGAGGACAATATACTTGAATCAACAATGTCCTGATGGAAAATAACTAAATTGATAGGAGAAGGGATTCCAGACCCATTCCCACGCACTGTATGGCTACATCAGACTAGAAGCTGCTTTTAATAATTCTGCAGCCAGTCCAGTCCATTTACAATCAGTGTCCGGGACGTCCCACGCCTCTCGTCCCTCCCTCTTGTCTCTGCGTTGTCTGTTTTGCAGTCGCTTCAGTTTCTGGGCTGAGAGTTGAATTCCTGGCAGATGTTCTGTACGATTTTGGACACGTATTTGTACAGATTGTCAAACTCGTCCACGAAATAGGAGTGCTCTTTGTCGGGGTCCGTGGCGATGTACTCCAGCTCGTCCTGCGCCGCCCACGCGATGCCGATGGAGTACGCGATTACGCCTGGACACAAAGACAGAAGCGAGAGATTTACTCAAGGCAGTTTTTCTTCAACCAGTGTGCTGTGGCAAAGCAGTGTAGCCACAGCTGCCCTGGGGCACACTGACAGAAGCGAGGCAACCAGTATGTGCCATTGGCCCCTCCAACCACCACCCACCATGTACGCTCACACAAGGCTCATTCAATTGTGTTTCGCCTGAGGACACAATTTCAATACGAATGAGACTGCAAAATTAGAATTGGTAATTACTATAAGTACGTTTTTTCAGAAATATTAGATGAAACAGACAAAAGGTAGTCCTGAAACATTATATCAGACAGGACTTCCAAAATCAATAACCATGCGTCACCTGCATGTGAACGCCTGATCCTGTCAGAAGCTAAGCAGGGAATGGCCTGGTTAGTGCTGTGATGGGAGACCACTGAGTATAACAGGTGCCACAGTGGTACAGCTGTGTCAATAGTTATGGGGACTATTGTGCGTGTTCTTAATGGTAGGGGAAACTGGAGCACCAAGAGGAAACCTACACAGACACGGGGAGAACATGCAAACTTGGAATAGAGGTTAGAGGTTAAATCTAACACAGGACCTTCTTGCAGGTTCATAAACAGCAGGTACGTCTCACCTTGGCGATGCACGGCCAGCGCGGGGGCCCTGACGTCATCGTAGGACCTCCCGTCTGTGATCACGATCATGATTTTGCGTTTGTTTGGTTTGGATTTGCTGAAGAGCTGTTCGGCGGCGTAGGTGATGGCGGCGCCGGTGCTGGTCCCGCCGCTCCAGTAGTTGATGCGCTTGATGGCGTTTAGCAGCTCGGCCTTGTTGTTGTACTGTCCGAAGGCAAACTCCAGCCGCTGCTCGTACGTGTACTGCACCGCCCCCACCCGCGTGTCCGTGTCCGAGATCTCGAACTCCCGGGTCACATTGGCCACGAACTGCAGCACGGTGCGGAAGTTGCCGGTGCCCACGCTGCTGGAGCCGTCGATTACGAAGGCAATGTCGTTGGCGTTCAGACAGGTTTTACTGCAGACCAGACGATCCGTGTCACACACTCTCTTCACCAGCGGCTGCAAGGCTTTCCTCAGGCCGAACCAGCTGGACACGGGCAGTGAGAAGAAGCCATTGGTGCGGCACACAGCCTGGAACACACACGTTATAGTATAGTAGTCTAGTGTAGTATAGTATGTAGTATAGTATGTAGTGTAGTATGGTATGTAGTGTAGTATGTAGTATATTATGTAGTGTAGTAGTGTAGTGTAGTGTAGTGTGTAGTGTAGTGTGTAGTGTAGTGTAGTAGTAGAGTAGAGTATAGTAGAGTATGATAGTATAGTACAGTAGTATAGTATGATAGTATAGTACAGTAGTATAGTCTAGTACAGTAGTATAGTGTAATATGATAGTATAGTATGATAGTATAGTAGTATAGTATAGTACAGTATAGTAGTATAGTACAGTATAGTAGTATAGTATAGTATAGTATAGTATAGTATGGTAGTATAGTATAGTATGGTAGTATAGTATAGTACGGTAGTATAGTATAGTATAGTACAGTAGTATAGTGTAGTAGTATAGTATAGTATGATAGTATAGTATAGTATAGTACAGTAGTATAGTATAGTATAGTAGAGTATGATAGTATAGTACAGTAGTATAGTATGATAGTATAGTACAGTAGTATAGTACAGTAGTATCATACTATACTACTGTACTATACTATCATACTCTACTATACTATACTATACTACTGTACTATACTATCATACTCTACTATACTATACTATACTACTGTACTATACTATACTATACTATCATACTATACTATACTACTACACTATACTACTGTACTATACTATACTACCGTACTATACTATACTACCATACTATACTATACTACCATACTATACTATACTATACTACTATACTGTACTATACTACTATACTGTACTATACTATCATACTATACTATCATATTACACTATACTACTGTACTAGACTATACTATACTACTGTACTATACTATACTACTATACTGTACTATACTACTATACTGTACTATACTATACTACTATACTATCATACTATACTATACTACTACACTATACTACTGTACTATACTATACTATACTACTGTACTATACTATACTACTGTACTATACTATACTACCATACTATACTATACTACCATACTATACTATACTATACTACTATACTGTACCATACTACTATACTGTACTGTACCATACTACTATACTGTACTATACTATACTACTATACTATCATACTATACTATATTACACTATACTACTGTACTATACTATCATACAGTAGTATAGTATGATAGTATAGTACAGTAGTATAGTCTAGTACAGTAGTATAGTGTAATATAGTATAGTATGATAGTATAGTAGTATAGTATAGTACAGTATAGTAGTATGGTACAGTATAGTAGTATAGTATAGTATAGTATGGTAGTATAGTATAGTATGGTAGTATAGTATAGTACGGTAGTATAGTATAGTACAGTAGTATAGTATAGTATAGTACAGTAGTATAGTGTAGTAGTATAGTATAGTATGATAGTATAGTATAGTATAGTACAGTAGTATAGTACAGTATAGTACAGTATAGTAGTATAGTATAGTACAGTAGTATAGTATAGTACAGTAGTATAGTATAGCATGATAGTATAGTAGTATAGTATAGTATGGTAGTATAGTATAGTAGTATAGTATAGTATAGAACAGTAGTATAGTATAGTACAGTAGTATAGTATGGTAGTATAGTATGGTAGTATAGTATAATATGGTAGTATAGTATAGTACAGTAGTATAGTATGGTAGTATAGTATAGTACAGTAGTATAGTATAGTGTGGTACAGCAGTATAGTATAGCACAGTAGTATAGTATAGTACAGTAGTATAGTATAGTACGGTAGTATAGTATAGTTTGTCTGAGTGGGGACAGGGTAACACTCATTCACAGCGATAAGGTCGTAGGGTTCGATCTTGTGTTGGATTTCTGAGTGGGGTTTGTATTTTACACACCCAATGTTGATAAGCCACTACTATAGCCCATGATTGAATTAGATGAAAATGAACGTACTCTAAGTGATTGTCTAATATCAGTCTTTCTCCACGTTCAAATAAACCTCACTCGTCTGAACTGCTCTCACCTTATCCACAAAATTGGCCTCCACCAGGTTGTGCTTCTCGTTGTCGTCCGCGCCCTCGATGGTCACAAAGAAGATGTTGATGCCTGATTCTCGTGCGAGTCTGGACGCCTCCTCCACTTTATCCGTGGGCCATCCATCCACCAGGACCACGGCCACGTTAGGAGCCCCCCCTCTGTTCCCATTGGCGTCACTGAAGTACAGCTTATTGATGTAGGAGAGGGCCTTCCCTGGTCACACAGCAGAGGGCAGCACACACACAGGGTTAGAATCTTAGTATCATCACCAACTGAACTCTACTTGAAAAAAATAGATAAATACTGCCATAGTCTGGATTTCCTCTGTCAAGTTACTAATACAATTTGTGTTTTCTATGAAAGGTCAGAGTTGTCACAACATAAACTGAATCCACAAATGCTAAGGCTCCTGATAGTTCACCAACAGCCACTTTTAAAGCTTCTCACACACAAAATCATCAATTGCGTTTATTGGACGATTGTGGTTGCTATTGAAGCGATAGAAGGTATATTCTATTAGGAGCAGTTTGTAAAAATCTGGCCAAAAGTGGTACTGCAGCCTCTCCCACTCTCCCTGAGTCAGGTTGACAGATATGCAGACATATAATAGACAAGAGTTTTGTCAACCACAAATCTTTGACCAGCACCTTTTTTCACAAAGGCCTCGATAGAAATCCTCGTTTTCGTCCTTGTTTTGTCAGTAATGATTTGAGAATTATAACGAGACTTTTTTTCAGGTCTGTGGCCACATGTTACTTCACCAGATTAGCTCGATGCAGGAGTTCTGGCAACCGGATCACGGACTTTCTGATTGGTAAAGCGGTCATCGACAACAAAATGAAAACAATAACAAGATTTATGGGCTGTAAAACTAATTTTGAAATTCAAATATCTCAGCTGAACTACTGTCATCAGTTAAAGAAGTTTTGGAAAAGAGCATGGTTTATTAATGCCTTTTGACAGGTAGGGCCATTTCATGATGACTTGACATGAATACTGATATTGCCCTTCCAGTTGGAATAGTCTTTTACAACATGAACTATTTCACTAGAATGTATAAAAACAATGGCAGGATGCAGGAGGCTCTAAGGACTGGGACTTTTTTCCATTTTTCTCATGTCAGGCTGTAGAATGCGGACTGTTCACAGGTGCAGATAAAAGAACAAGGTACTCACAATTTCTTTTTGGGTTTTTTTTGTTTTGTTTTTTAAGTAATGGAATGACTAATGAGTTTTAAAAGTGCTAAAAGCCAGTCTAAATAAATTTGTTTTGACCCTCAGTTTTAAACAGGCCAAAGTGAGGTCCAGTAACTGAGAAGAACCGCATAACAAAAATCTTTGAGGTGATTACAGTAGTCCTCTAGACTCTTTTCTAACTTGGACAACATTACAAGTCTTGTGTGAGAACATACATAGAGAGAATTGTAAACATAAACACAACAATATAAAGTGCATTTCTCTCATTGTAAAAGCCAGGAGTGTACGTGGCATCCTATCATTTAGCCTGTCCTGCGGCCGCCACTGGCACTATACGGGCAACGCTTCGTGACCACTCGCAATGTGCTGATTACAGAGCGCCCAAGACACTGTTTCAACCAGAAAAGTAAAATTTAGCAAGTCATAAAGAAGCATGTGGCACCAGCAGGAGGGCGGACAAACAAGATCTGACCCCCAAAGGCCCATTCAAGAAAAACACGACTCCACCGAGCACAACTGTAATTTAGGCGACAGTATCTTGGAGCAAACTTAGATTTAATTGTATCTTTGCATGTGAAAATGTGCCAGCGCCGTAAAGCCGGTGATAAGTGGCAGAGCTTGACTTTCGCACCAGCGTTTGTGGCTTCTATACTGCACTTTATTGAATACACTCACCCACGTTGGACTGGCCCCCCTTCTGCACGATCTTGTCCACGGCCGACTTCACGTCTCTGGAGCTGGAGTAAGACTTCAGGCTGATCTCTGTCACCGGGTCGTCACTGAAGGGACAGAAAGTAACTGTAGAAACCATGCAGACGTAAAGGTGGGGTTGTAGTTTGAGGAGGGAGGGAAATATGAGACAGTTTTATGCTCAAATAACATTCAGATCATCGTGTGTCACAATTTGTGTTATTGAATTCTGAAAACGATGAACTGTAAAGTATGTATGAGGTAATAGATTTGGATCTTAAACCCTTTTACTGATTTAAAGACTTAGAGCTACCTTGATTTTTTGATGCTTCCATTCAAAACGTGCACAGTTCTGTGGCCGCAAATAAAAGTCCCAGGATCTAAGATATTTAGGAGCTCATTATTGAAGATAAGATAAGAGCCTTTATATGAAGTTATACAGTCACTGCTTCAGGCCTGAAGACATTTTTTCCATCTAAAATCTAAAATATTTAACATTTTTCTTTCACGAAACATACTCAGAGGATGTTTTAGACCTATACAGCTTGAAGTGAAAGCTTCTGCCAAAAAGGCCTAAAGACACACGAGTTTTTCTGACATTGGAAAGAAAAAAGAGCTTGGGATTGTGTCATTACTTGCCGACATGTTTGAGTGCACCTGTTGTTAAACATGCCACATACGTGCTCCACTTTACTGTGTATTATCGGAAGTAAAGATTATTCGTTTCAGCAATAACTGATAATTCAGGTCACATGCAAGGAAATTGTAAAAACTTTGATATTTTAAATTATTATTTCAAATTTAAATAAATATTTTAGAAAAATAAATGTTTCCTTCTTGCCAATAGAACTCGTACGTAGCGCTGTAGCATGCATTTGCTTGAATGGAAGTCAGTTCAATAAATACCATGATATATACATTGAAGTTTCTTGGGTCTCTTTTGCTTTCAAAACGCTATTGTTCAAAAACAACGTTTTTACTGTTCTTTGGTCAATGATCAAGAATGTTTTTTCTCACAATAAAATTTAGATCAAAACATCCCTATTGTGTTTTCTATTGTTTGTTTTTTTTGTCCAATCGACAACTGATGCATTGGGACATACTCTTACCCATACTGGATGATGCCCATCATGGGTCCGGCCACGCCCACATTTATTGTCTGTGCCACTTCTGCCAAAAAGTCCTTTTGGATCTTAAACCTGCGCTTTCCAATACTCCAGCTGCCGTCCATTAAAAACACCATGTCCACCTTACAATCTGCAAAAAGACACTTCATAACATTGATACATACTGGTTCATTGTTCAAGGGATGAATGATGGAAAGGGGAATCTAGACACGCAGCCACATACAGTACCATTGTCTATAAAAGCGCACATTTAAAACATAAACAATGCAAAATAAACTCAGTGAACTACTTACTTGGATCTCCTTGGGATACCGGTTCAGGGATTCTGGGAATAGGCTCTGGCTCTCTCAAATTGAAACCTTTAAAAATGCAAATTTCCAGTAAGAGAGAAAGAAAACACAATTAGATCAAACAGCAGAGGCGTATACGTGCTTCTGCTGAATTAAAAGAAGATGTTCTGGTTTCGCTTGATCTCTGAGTTTAAATTGTAGAGACATGCAACGCATTAAAGGCCTTTGGTGCTGCTTCCGTCATCCACTTTCCAGAAATCCCAAAATTTGCATTGGTCTTGGTATAATTTCACCAAACGGGAGGTGCATAATCTTAGTATTTATCTTGGACTACCAATTCTTCCAATTACAGGTTAAGGATAAGGATACCCAAATCCTGTCCTTAGGGAAGTGGTGAGTCAAAGTGAGCTGTCCCAGTCCGGAAAAGAACTCCACATTTGAGGAAGACAAAACAACGGAAGAGCTCTGGTTTACCTGATTCATAAAGGTTCATGTCAGGCTTCCAGGAGTCCACTGGTTCCACTGAAACACAGACAATAGGACATATTTCAACACACAAAATGATATGTTGGTTTTGGTAACAGCTAGTTTGATGTTGGACTTCTGTTGTGGTCAATGAAAGATAGATCAGGGCTTTTTTCCACAGATAAAATGAAAGCCATAGGAACTTGATGTAGCTACGGTAATGCAACATCAGCAAACAAGCCACAGGAAGTCAAATGGGGGTGAGGAGCTGGGTCACATGAGAGCAGCTTGGAGTAGAGCCACTGCTCCTCCCAGCTGAACATGACTTGGGCATCGCTCTTTAAGAGTGTTCTAGTCTAGGCAAGTCCTAATAGAGGAGACCCCAGCTGTCTCTCAGCTGGCTATGGAAACACCAGGATTCCCCTAATTGGGCTGGAGGAAAAAAGCGGAAGAAAAGAAGATGTACGGATGAATGGATAAAGTTTTTCCAAGTGTGCATGGAAGATTATTGTTTTAACTATATGTAGATAAATAAGCAGGATTGGGAAGGATAGGCCAACATAAATATTAATCAGAAAGAGGGGTTTCTATTCATTAGTATTTGAAATTAAACAACAACTTTTGAAGAAAAAACATAGCAGTTGTAGTGGAGGTGAGCAGTTAAGCCTTGACCAAACCTCATGATCATGTAATCTCATATGACATATGACATTACTATTCCCTTCTGCCTCTGTGAGTGTGACATTTTGCCTTTTTCTTATGAACCTTTCAGACACAAGTCACACATGCAGAAATATTGGCACTCACCTTTTGTGTGGGTTGAATCCAGGGCTACTTTTCGATTCCCGTCTGCTTCGTACGCTCTGGACACTGCAAAAAGAGACTGCAGCTTAAAATTACGTCACAAGCTGCAGATGTTTCACGGATGTAAAAGCTCAAAGCCTCCATATTTAATCGAACAAGGCGTGTGGAGGCGTTTATGTGGTTCGAAGGGTTTTTGGCCACCAATTTTTCCAAACCTTGCACCAAGCTGCTTTACCAAACAGATGCGAAAACACTCTGTAATCTGTCACTTGGAAAGGCTTTTGTGTTTTTGGTAAAGTCGCCATATTACACGTTAGATCTGACCAAAATAATAAATACGTTGAGTCCTTTCATTTGGAGATGGGTACACAGTTGATAGGCTATAACTTAACCAGGGACCCCACCGCCCAGTCCAGACCACAGGGCAGGCACACCCATGAATGACAGATAAGGACTAACTCCAAAATGAAATACAAGCAAAAACAATGTGTGTGGCATAGACAAAACATGTGCCACGGTAACGCATAGAACCAAAGCGGGCTACAGTATTGTGCAAAAAGATTAGACAGGGTTTAAAGGAGACATTGTGTGAATATAATACTGTAGTAATTCTCTCTTTTCGACTTTTTGAATTAACCTGCCTCATTAATAAGACACGTTTCTTATGACCATGACATAACATTTGTCTTGTATGTAGAGAGTACAGTAGTAGGCGGTTCACATTTTGCGGCATCTGATATTCGTTTGTGCAATTTTGCGTGCTTCTCACTCCAACAACATCATATAAGCGCTAGTTTAACAGGACAGTTACTTTTATTTAGAGTCAGAGGAAAACGTTTGCGGCTTGTGTGCACCGCTGTGATTAGTAGTGATTAGGTGGTTAACTAAACATGGGTGCCAATCTGTTGTAATGTTTTATCTAAACTTAGACACGGGCGGTTAGAGCTTGTGTTTCACAGCAAGAGGTCCTGGGTTCGATTACACCTTAAGGCCTTTCTGTGTGAAGTTTGCATGTTCTAAGCGTGTCTGCGTAGGTTTCCTCCGGGTGCTCCGGTTTCCGAGGTTTTCCCTACCGTGAGGAAAAATATTTGAACTATGAACACTGTGAAGCGCTTTGGGTGAACTGTATAATGCGCTATATAAATAAACATTACTTACTTACTTACTAGACTGAATTAGACATAAACATTCGACGCAGACAGTAGAGGTGAGTGTGACATTTTAGGTGAGTGTTGAAGTAAGTGTCTGGAAAAATAGCCTGTATCAATCCCCCAATAACATGGATGGGGGATTGAACATTTCAGAACCTTCTGTCTAAAACTTTTACACAATACTTATGAGACGCCTCGGTGACTAAGAAGAAAAGACACTTACGGTAGGGTCCAACGTTATAATACCAGCGCTCAAAGTCAGAGAAATCAGGCCTTTGATCCCGAGCTGAGGAGGACGTGTGAGAGCTGTTAGTAAACCCACTAGCAACATGGCCGCCGGTACATTTCCATGGTTTGGATTGGTTCGAGCCATTCTTCAACCAATCCCAGACCAGTGGAAACCGGGCAGCAACAACCGTGTTCACATGCATCAACTGTGAAACCTGCAACACGCCAAATGTGTGACACCAGTGATTCTCAAACTGTGGTTCTAGTACTAGCGAACCTCTGAATTTTAGAAGTCATTTTGTTCTAGACTTACCATCACATGCAGCTGCACAGTATACAGGTTTTGTAACTGGTGTGAAAGGGTTTTCACTGTATTTTGGCATATTGCAGGTAGTTGGCATGGCAACATCATCCAAAGAAACTACATTACTTAGACACATTAAGAACCATTACATGCAATGACACCTACATGCATCATATTTTGGGCAAGTAGAGTGGTAACCTTAAATTAAATGCAATTAATAAATATAATAAAATAGATAATTGCGCAAATATTTGCTCCAATAAGATTAATATAATTAAAAAACATTCCATGATTTTAACTTCTCAATGTTGATATTCATTGATTAGATATACTGTATATATAAGAAAAGAAAAAAAAATTATTCTCACATGGCTACTCTATGTATGAAATGATACAACAATGAAATGATATAGCAGCAGATCAAATATTACATTTGAGCCAAAATGCCTGTGGGAAAATCATATGTGTGTCTGTAATTATTGTCGCAAATGTAAATAAATAAAAAATATTCATGAATTAAATACAAACGTGAACTATTTTAACTAAATGGCTAAAATGTGCTTTTTTTCTTTCCTTGCAATGCTACATCATAAGTTAACTAAAACTTAAGACATTTGTTCAATAGTTTGGTGTAAGTGCATACTCTTTACCCACATGCCCATGCAGTGTAATTGTTCATGTACAGATGCAGTCCCGGGACAGAGAGACTTACCGGGGATGTCCGCTGTCTCCGCGGTCTCAGTCCATGAGTATCCTGAGTCTGGCACGGAATAACTTACATCTGAACAGAGAGGTCAGTGAGTGTCAGGCTGCTTTGGAAAAATTACCAAAAGCGTTTAGCTCTATGTGTGTTGAAATGCCTTCTATCTGAAATCAATTTGTTCCCGTTTTGTCTGGATACACTATTTAGCTTTAAGTTCATTTAGTTCATAGTTGAAATCTGTTGAAAGTATTTATGTTACTTTACTTTTGTTTGAGAATCCAAGACTAAAAAACTGTTTTATCGACCAATGAAAATATAACTGCACGTCTTTTGTCGCGTCCAATCCAAAAACACAAGGACAATAGCAGACGAGACATTATAAAAAAACATTTATGGCGCCAATGTTTTCTCAAAGTTGGACCTTGAAGGACTCTTGGCAGTGATTAAGGTTCAAGCAGTTCACATTTATATTTCTTAAGAAAAAAAACAATGGCTCTACAATTTTAAGGTTTAACATGTGACCAAACAGCTTTTGACTTTTAGAGTTTTTACAAATGCTTTAATCCACTCATTGAAAGATGCAGAATCGGGCTCCATCTTTAATTTAATTGTAAAAAAAATAATCTTAGTTTATATAAAGTTAACAAATAGTAAACTACAGTAGTACAGTACCATAGGCAAGACTCGACTCTCTATTCCTTATTTAGACAAATTTGAAAATCCTTTTGAAACCGATTATGACTTAGAAAGACTAATTAATTACGGGAAAGAAACAGCAATTGATTTGTTTAATGGTAAAACTGGTTTGAGTGTAAGAAGAGGCCCACATTACTCATATTTGGGGACAAAGTGAGAGTCGAGAAAGAAAGAGAGCTGGGTTAAATATTTCTTGCTTCATACTGTTGGCATACTAAACTTCATGTGGATAGGCTATAATTAGAAAAATCACATACTTCTCACCCTATTAATAGTTGCTAGTGTTTTTTTTTTGTCATCTCTACTGCTGTTTTGACCCATAAACCTCCTTATGAAGTGCATGAATGAAGCGGCGCTGTCAGTGTGTCCATTCAGAGGTAAGTTGTTTGCCTTGTTACCTGCGGGACGCCTGGCTCCAGGAAACCAATCGGGTCGCGGGTAGGAGGGGGGCGCCCAATCCCTTCTGGGAAAAGCTGTGCAGAGGGAGATTAAAAAGCTGCCTTCAGGACAGAGGACAGAGCAGGGCTGATGTCCCACACACACAGGGTCCCACCTCATAAGCACACACTCACCGCTGAAGGCATGGAGCTTTTTCCTCTGCCAGCTTTTCTGCTTACATACATTCAGTATCTAGTCTAGTTTAGAAAGCCTCCTCATGAGCTGGAAGATGATATTTGTATGGATGTAAGAAAATAAGTTAATGAACTCCTCCCCTTAGAGTTACAAGTGTTGTTGTAGTCATGGTTTTCAGCCTCTTTTCATGTTGAGCACTTTTCTAATTATTTAGAATGCATTTTATATAGCATTACATTTTAAGTCCTGATGACTGAAACGCATTGGGGCATATTGGGGGAAATTGAGACATATTGTAATCAATCAAGAAATTGAATTTTGCATTTGGTAATACCTTTTCTTATACCTGGCTACCTTCTGTTTATTTAGAAATGTACTTTTAGTCTGGTGGTGCATATTCATTATTATTATATATTTTATTTACATTGAATACATTTACCCATTGCATTATGCCTTATCAATCATCAGATACAAACTTCTATAATATGATTCTATAGGGGAGAACTGCTACTTACATCCATAGCAAATACTTTTGTTCATACATTTTTGAAGAAGAAAAATGTATCCCAGAACACCCAAGTATGAATGAAGTAACACTGATGTCTTTGCAATCAGGAATTGCAAAAAAAACGTGTGAATTAAAATCATTACGACATGTTAGCAAGAAGAAAATTACACCATGACTGTAGTACTAAGTAGAACACTGAGTAGATTATTTTGCCATCACAGTTCAGCATATGGATTGATTATTACTGCATAGAGTATTCTGCTCACTTTCAATGTTGCTGTGATTGATACATTATTCTTTTGGGTTTCAGGTCATCAGAAGTTATCAGACTAAACTCAAAGATATTGGAAGCAAGGTGAGATATGGGCCAATACAGGCCGGGGTTGGGTGTTCATGTCTCTTTTCAGGACAAATGGTTAAAAAAAAAAAATGCTTGATTTTGTTTGATTTTAATTTGTATAGTTATTGTTTATTTAACTTGTGCTGTGTCTCCTCATTCCTAATGTTACATAACTTGTGATGCAACATTGACATTTCCCCACTGTGGGACGAATAAAGTGTCTTAATCTGAATCTAAATCAGCATTTGCTTCATCCAACCCCTTTACAAATAAGGCAAGGCAAGGCAAGGCAAGTTTATTTATATAGCACAATTCATACACAAGGCAATTCAAAGTGCTGAACAAAACAAGAAAGCATTAAAATCATAAATAATCACAGAACATTAAAAAGAAAGATAAAAATATAAAATCCCTCAGTTGTATGCACAGCTAAACAGAACTGTCTTTAACCTGGTTTTAAACATTGTCAGAGAGGAGGCCTGTCTCACATCTTCAGGAAGACTGTTCCAGATTTTAGCAGCATGAATCTGAAAAGCAGCCTCCCCATGTTTAGTTCTGACTCTGGGCACTAACAGGAGTCCAGTCCCTGTGCTCCTCAGAGTCCGGGCTGGTTCATATGGGACTAACATGTCACTAATATATTTTGGTGCGAGGCCATGGAGAGACTTGTACAAAAGCAGAGCTGTTTTAAAGTCTATTCTCTGAGCCACAGGAAGCCAGTGCAGAGACCTGAGCACTGGACTAATGTGGTCGTACTTCCTGGTTCTTGTCAGGACTCGAGCTGCTGCATTTTGAATGTACTGCAGCTGTTTTACAGCCTGTTTGGACAGACCTGTGAGCAGGCCATTGCAGTAGTCCAACCTACTGGAGACAAATGCATGGATAAGAATCTCCAAGTCTGCTTTAGACACTATGTTTTTGATCCTGGCAATGTTTTTTAGATGGTAAAAAGCTGCTGATGTTACTGATTTGATGTGGCTATTAAAATTTAAGTCTGAGTCCAGTATTACCCCTAGATTTCTGACCTTGTTTGAAGGTTTTAGGGAGAGAGACTGTAGGTGACAGATGACGCTCTCTCTTTGTTTCTGGGGACCAAAGACAATCATTTCAAATAATATATTGACATATGTGAAATATGTGTTAATAAATATGACACCTCTTTTCTTTAACTCATCTTACTTTATCCATTACAAATTTACTTCATTCCAAATTCAAACCTACATTTTCATAATTTGATTCTGTAGAGACCAGTTCTTTGTCTCCAGTCATTTAAAAATACTAGAATACTTTGCGTCTCCAATAGGGAACGAGCCAATAGTTCCCACCCATCATGAGCTCAGGGCTGTCCAGTGACGTCCAGTGACACAGCGCTGTGTTTGGATAAGAGCAGAGTCAAACCCGGGACGGTGTGGATGGGACAATACTCAGATTAGGGACATGACAGCGCTGTTGATTTTGGTCTATTGTGACAGGTGCTTTCATGTGATCCACTTAAACTCATTCTCCAACACTTCAGAGATCACAGGAGCCTCGAGGTCAGGCGCAGTTCAGGACATTTTTTACTTTTCGATCAATAAATTCAAAATAGAGGATAATACTTAACACATGGGTTTCTTATTGCATGATGAATGTGTGCATTGTCATTGTAAATTTAAGGCTACAGTCACTTTCATCAGACATAGAAATATGTTTTGATATCCATAGAACTACTTCATTTAAACAGTTTAGTTTAGACAGTTGTGGCCTCTGTCAAATCTGCCTTAGAACTGTTTTATCAGTTAAAAAAAGTGACAGGACCACCCTCCCTCAACCAATCAGCTCTCAGCACAAAACTCAAAACAGTGACTTACAAGTATGTAGGAGAGAACATGTTTTACAATTAGAGGAAGACAGGATGTTGCGGTCTGATTTGTACACAACATTTTACTTTTTCAAAACTATTTCTAAACAAAAAACATGTATTTATGAAAAAAGAAAGTTAGGTACCCCAGCTTTAAAGTTATAACATTTCTATTGAAAGGTCCCATGCTTGTTTCTGTTGAGATGTTTGATTGCTTTGTTTGGAATGTCCCACGCTATAGCAAAGATCATACCGATCCGTACGGACATACACACAGTTCACAGTAATGCGTGCAGGTGTCTAGCTAGTATTTTGAACGCTGAAATAATAAATGTAGTACTACAAGTATATAGTAATGTCATACTGTGGAGAATGTTGTGTAGGTACAGTAGGGGAGCGAAACCAGTCAGTCGCAATCTACCGGCAGAACTCGGGCCGATTAGCCGAGTTAAAAAACAATTATGAGAAAAAGTTATAATACAGTAATCCTGTAAGAAAAAAATTAAGACAAATTCTCTCACATGCTATGCCCAGTGTTCAATGCAATACATAAATGGCTTTTTGAAATAAGCCGCTAATATGACACATAAATAAATCATAAATCACTTCAGGTTTACTATTTAGAGGAAAATGATGAGTAATTTTTGCTTCTGCAGTAGTTCCCAGATTGTTTCCATATTGCATAAGTCAAACTCCAAGGGTTATTCCTGTCTTGTCTGGCCTAGTCTGTCTCATTAGTTAGATCTACGCCTCAAAGACCTTCGCCGTAACTTTGAACATCTGTGAGGGTAGCGCGGTGGCACACTGACTGCAAAAGGAAAGTCGTAAATCTTATATTTCACGTGACAAAAAGGCTAAAGACAAAGTGATCTGTCTGATCCTGAGGTCTTTATGTTAATGATTGTGACCTGAACTCCTCACCTCATGCACCAGGAATTTCTCTGAGGGCCTCAATAAAGCAACACATCACTAAACAGAAGTCGCACCCATTTCTACACACAACGTTCTAGTCCAAGTGCGAGAGGATAATTCTGAGTGGGCATAAGAGTTTGAATTCTAAGGCTTTGAAACTGGATTTTTCTGTTTTCCTCTTCTTAAATTGTATAGAAGTTAGTGCTGGGCAATTTAAACGGTATAAGCGGTATAAAAATTTGGCCAACAATAGAGATTTTTGTTATACCGGCATATTGTGATAGGCCATTAGGTCATCAAATTGCAACACGTTTGCCCTTCTGGGACGGGCAACAACCACGAGTGGTTGCTGGATTCGTCCCGGAATCCAGATTCGTCCAGAAGTTCAGTTTGCGCATGTCAAAAACTGTAAATAAACATGTAAACAGTTTGTTTTGTTAAATACAGATTATATTGTTGATTTGTGCTCATATGTATCAAGGTTTATTACGAAAAATGGCGATAAATGGCGATAAATGGCGGAAAAAAGCTCAGAGAAAAAAATACTTTTAGTAGCCGCGCAGCTAGCGCCCAGATTCGTTCAAAGCATGGATCTATTATATTAACTGGATAGGGTATTACTAGCTTGGAGCTGAAGAACTCATGTGCTCAGGGTATTCTCGCGGTGTAGACTAAACCAGACTAAATTCACGCGGGCTACCCAGACATTTTCCCCATAGAACTCAATGTAAACTAAAACAGCTCGACCTCAGCTGACAGAGAACCTAAAGCTTTCATAAAGATTGGATTTTGTGGGGATTTTAGTGTCCCTTGTCATCCTGAACTTTTTTACTTCTTAAATCCTTCGGTTTTCTTTAAATCTACACTTTAGTGCCACAAATTCTGCCCGTCTGGCTCCCGCTCTAACTCTCGCTCTGATGAGCAGCTCTGATTGGTCAGAGTGCGGCCGAGCCCCCCTGTGTACGTGCATGACAGCCACACACACGTATTTCGCGCAATGCATCATGGGAGATAATCCGCTAGGCAGAACCGGGAGGACCAGACGATGCCCAAATACAGGCAAGTTTCCCATGGATCTTTGCGAGTTCCAGGCGAGTTCCGCTAATATGTCAGCGACCGTGCCGGCACAAAGCGCCACTGAGCAGAAACCATTCATTTGAATACGGCGCCATCTTGGATCGTCGGGGCTTGGTTCAAAGGCACACGGAAATGAGGCAAACACATAGACAGTTTAATTCTTTATTAGATTCACTGTCTTTCACTTGTTAAACTAATAAATAAATGTGTTCAACGAGACTTAACTATGTATGCGTGTATGAATGTACGATAACAGGATAAATTGTCACAATTGTTTATTGCAACAATAGACCCTAACCCTTACAAATGGGTGGTTTTATGGCGCCTTCTCTAGGTCACACACTAAATGTCAAGAAAAGTATCAAATAAATAAACATTATCCAGCTCAAAAAGTGACATTTTAAATAAGCATTAATCTTGACTATTTTATACAAGAACCTGTTAGACCTATATTGAAATTCACACACCAAATTATACCGCAATATGAAACTTAGGCCATATCGCCCACCCCCAACAGAAGTAACTGCTTACAAGGTACACACTCCATAGTTGGACTACTGTCGAAGTCTTTAAGGTTTACTTTTGAGTCTCTTTGTGAAGAGATATTATCGTTTTGAATTGTCTTTATTGTTTGTTTAATGGCAGATAATTTTCTCAAGAAGGGGTCACACTTTATTTGCAAGGCACTAAAATAGATCTGGCAACTTGTAAGCCTTTCAATTGTGGCATTTTTAATTAATTTGTTTTTTCTTATTCGACTAGGTCTGTTCTACAAACTTTAAGATGTAAATGTATTTGATTTTTTGACCAGAACCATATTTCAAATGGAAAGAATTACAAATGAAGAAGTAAAGTTTCAATCTAGAAGCTAGAGACGCATGTCATTATGTTTTATAGGAAGGACATTTTCAGATTTCATCTCCTCTTATGAGCAGGACAAATCTGATCCAACAAGTTAAACACATCCGAGCTTTCAGACCAATTTTGGTGAAATGTCTCAATGTCACAAACTTTCTCCAGTTGAAACTTTTTCTACCACAAATTACAGATTACAGAGAGATTACACTGATTTCTCTGTAATGTAATGTTTACTCAGCAGGCAATTCAAATAGACGCAATTGTGTCTATTTCCATGGACCTAAAACAAAGAGCACCAGAGGCTAAATCAAACCACACTTTCTCTATGAGCCAAACCTAAACTGGGTTTTAAACAGTCTGCAATATTCTGGGCCAGATCTCATGTCTCTGGGTCACTTGGTTTAACTTCCATCTCTCAAAATGTTTACGAGGGGCACTCCTGCTGCACCAGATGTGGCCGTCAGAGGATGTTAAATGACTTGCACTGTTTCATCTGCAAACCGAGATAAAAGCTTTGAGTGGACTTATATTTGGAGAAGAGATATGACGTACGCGGTTTCAAGCTTTTTGATTCACTGTCCGCTTTGTAGAGCGAGATAGGTTGATTGCGATCAACATTATGTTTACTTTAATACTGTATTTGTAACTAAACAGTTTCCATATTTTCCAGTTGAATTTAGTCACCTGTAAGAGTGACATGAAGAGAATGTAAACCCGTCCGCTCCAATTGAAGGCTGAAATTCTTAAGTCCTTACTCCAGTAACGTCCCCTTGACGTACCTGGAGAGAAGCGTTTCTATCACTGATTTGCTGGCATGTAACCATATAAACCAGATCCAATTGAGACACTGGCAGCAGATGCATTTAAGAGCTCATCCAATGTTTAAAGTCATAAATCCAAAATACCCGGCGCTTTGGGCCCACACTGAGCAAGAAGGCAGCCAAGGTTTCAAGGGCTTAGCACAGTTCGGATGACTACTTTTGAACCCTTGGTTACTTCTGGGTGAAGATTATTGATACAAAACAACTATCTTATGTGAATTATTCTCAAGATCATTAAATTTGAAAGCATTTTCTTGTACCAATGTGCCACTGTCCATTGTGCACCTCATTAGCCGGTTCTTTGTGTAATCTGTGTGGGTGTGAGGTACTCACTGGGGTTGGCGTTGGACTGGCCTGTCCCTTGGCTCCGGTCCGGTGTAGAGGGCTGGACTCTGTTAAAAGCTGTAGATGGCAAATGGGAAATTGTAACAAAATTATAATATTAGTTAAAATGTTATGTTTTTGAGAAACTATCTGACTTTACTATGAACCAAAAAGCAGCCATCACAATACAGCATTATCTCATTGAAAGCCATGATGTCAGTTTATCATAATAAAACAAGTACATATATTTTCAAAGGTAAGTCCAATGAAGTCCAATTAAAGAAAATAGATATAAACTATAACAGTAGGCAAATCAAAATACATATCTGTGACTTCATCTCTACACACAGCCGCAGACACTGTAGACACTGTAGCTATGACATCATGCTACAGTATGTGCCGTCCATCTGTTCAGCATGAGGAAAAGTCTAAGCAAAAGTAGGCCCTCCCAACTCCTTATTTTTCAAAGCAAATGTGATTTACAATAACATCAGATATCAATGACTTTTACAAGACTAAGTTGCGTCATTTGTGCTTTTTGCTTTGATGTAACAGGATGTAGAGAATGATGTGACAGCGGTTGTCTGGAGAGAAGCGTCTGCTGAGTGGCTTGATGGAAGTGGATTAGCTGAGACCTGGGGTGAAACTTTTTAAGGGGCTTAAAACGGTATGGACTCAGTGTCTGTGGTCGACTGTAACATGTCAGCTCTCAGCCATGCTCCCATAAGATTGCCCTTGACCAATTTTTAGCCCTGTGTTTGTTGCAGCCCGTTTTTATCACAAAGTGGGGACTTATTTATAAATACAGTCAGTTCAGACAGACGTAGCTTTAAACGAATCTGTGCAATCAGCCACGTCATTGAATGCAGTATTTAATCAACAACATTATGTAATGTAAAAAGTTCAGTATGTCTTAATGAGGGTGGATTTAGCCCCTCTGGCGCCCACCTTGATTCACTGACCGCATCCAGTAATAACAGCTGATCGGAGACACGTCACACCATCATGTGTCCCCTCTGACAAAGGCGGAGGTCGATTACCGAGTCATGTAGTAAAGAAGCAGTACTGGCTTCTTTCACTCTTTGTCAAAATAATCTTTTAAGCCGAATACAAATAATATAGGTGTAAATCAAGGTGTTATTAAATATGTTAAAATATAAAATAAATTATTGTCTTGTTCAAGAATAATGAAGTGCTGTTGATAATTATTATATAATGTCCCAAGCATTTACGTCTCTAGTGTATTTCAATGATTTGTTTCAACATAAGTAAAATATTTTCAAATAACACAATAATAAAATAAAATCTAATTCCATTATTACAGGACATCAATGTGATGTCCCCACAAAGCCTGTACATGTGTGTGTACGTGTGTGCGGGTGAAATTCGGACCTGGCCCCATGGGAGCAGACGGCTGTCTCCTGATGGCTGCTCCGGCCTCTTGTCTACGGAGGCCTGTGAGAATCAAAATAAGTGACAGAGTTACTTAATGCAGCTGTTGTGAGGCTGTAATGACAGAAATCACATCTGTGCGGCAAATGTGCAAGAAGAAAAGTTATGAGCCAAAACCAAAACATCACCGCGTCTTAGGAGTTTGAATGTGAACACAAACCATTTTCACTAATCTCCTGCTATCATTCCATTTTCTATTGCACATTATAATGATTATTGTCCGGAACGAATGCATATAAAAGAAATAAAATAGGCATGCACAATATCAAGATGAAAAAATACCATTGAAAAAAGCAAATGGACTCGACCAAAACAGAAACAGATAATAACAAGCGTTAAGGCGCAGTATTAAATTACTTCTTATTGGTTCAAGGAATAAATTCAACACCAATTTATTACTGTATAACTTTTTATGTAGTTTTCATTTCTGAAATGTACCTTTACTTGAAAGACTGTTATAACTAGACACTTGTGTTATACTTCCAAAGCTCCCGGCTTTTGAGTCAAACATCTTGTGTATGGCAGTTTACGCAATCTGATCAAATCCACGTGCAAATGAGGGCAGATGCAGACAAAATGCTTGAATAATATCACAAAGATAAAGCAGGACGATTAGAAAATACTAGATTGACAAAAGCAAATCGACAATATGCACAGACTCCATGCAGGCTCAAAGGTAGCGGCAAAGCAGATTCCCATGATGCATCACAAACACGGACACTGCTTGCTTTACCTGCACTGATTCTCTGTGGGAAGCGACCGGGATAGGCTGCACCTCTGAAGACTTTGGGAAAACTTTGGTCATTACTGAGTTTGAGATGTAAAGGGTGAACTTATACACCGACAGCAGGGACTTACCTTGAACAGGACTCTTCCCTGCTCCGCTCTGGGTCTGTCCTGCACCGGCGGTAAAGGAGATAGGACCAATGAATGAATATAATGATCATAATAAACTTTGATCTGAATTTGCACTCGCCTACAAAGTCCTCATGTTGGATAGATTTGACCTGACAAAGATGTGAGAACCAGTTGACCGTCCACAAAAGTTTTGTATCTTTTTTACTTTAAGGATAATGCGAAAAGTCAGGTCTGTAAGTATTGTATAAATACATCTAGAAATATATTTGAAACGTGAGAAAGTATTAAAACTGACAAAACAGGAAGAGATTTTCGATTTGTGAGCAGTTTTTGTCAGTTATTCATTGGATACGTGTAAGGTCAGAGAGTGTTTGGGCCTGTGTCTTGAGCGTGCGTGTGTATATGCATATGCGTGTGTGTGTGTCTATGCATATGCCTGTGTGTGTGCATCTGTGCGTACGTTTGTGTGTATGTATTATAATTCATGTTAAAAATGTAGCTCATTGTCCATGAAGGTAAACAAAAAATGAAATTAGTATAGAGTATTTGTATTAGTATCCCGTTTGTAATGTTAGGCCTGTTTCACACCTTACGCCGAGCGCAGAGCCGAGCGCCCTTTCCAGCCGAACTACCTCGCGGCGAGCGCATGTATTCAGACTGACGCCGAGCGTGGGCAAAGCGCCTAGACGAGTAGCAGGCACAAAAGGAGTAGTATTGTACTCCAAACTAATAAACATGTTGTATATTTACATATGTTGTCTGAAATAACAGGTCAGACATCAAAATAGCACATGTAGACCTTAAATAAATTGCTAACATTTCCTTATAATGTATCTTATAGCCTATTTTGATTGTCGTTTCATTATCATAGTTAATTATAAGGTGTGGGGAAGGCCTGGATCTCCAGGGGGGTTAAGGTTAGGTTATAATTATAATATATATATATATATTATATATATATATATATATTATTATATATATAATATATGTTACAATTATATTTTATGCATAAAAAAAAAGTATGACATGGAAAAGTGTGTAATTAAAAGAATAAACTTATTTGTACTTATGCATTACAATAATGAGATTAGATAAACGTGAAATTGCTTTATAAAAGTTATTTTTTGAATATTTTCGTGCTGAAAGCCGCTTCGCTGCGCAGCCTACACGCGGAAAAAATGCGCTCGAGTTCCATTTTTGGTTTCAGGAGCGGAGGAGGCAGCGGCGCGCGCCGATTCCCTGCGCGCCGCCTCAGCGCCGGTCTGTACACAGAAGAGCTTTCTCATTTGCACAACAGGACGCGACTTGAAGCGCAGCTTGCGAATGCACGCGAGCGGGTTTCGAAGACGAATTCGTTCACGAATTCGTGTGCGGTGTGAAACAGGCCTTACAGGGAATTTACACAGTAGGCGTAAACAACGCGTACGCGTTTACTGCGCGCTCTCTGCGCATAACATTTTTTTGGAGTATCTACACAGACCGTGCGCGCAGGTCTGCGTTTTCTGATGCTCTCCCTGTGTAGTCTATGGAGCAGTGTAGAGGACAGTACGGGCCAGAGGACTGATGTAGAGCAACACAAATCACATGCATGTGTTTGTCCTCATGGTCTCCGTTGCTGGTTTGGCCAGACGCGAGACTTTATGAAAGAAAAAAACGATGTCCAGAATCACTGTAAAACCTGCTGCTCCTCCTGCTGATGTTTAAATACAAGTGCTGTGTGTGCGTATACTGCGATCTAGAGCCAAGGACCGCTAGAAAAATCAAGTTTTACATGAGATTTCAATGGGAGACGCGTTGGTGCGCGCACAAAATTAGAAATCCATCCTAAATTAGAGCGCAGCTTCGCGACATACGTCCGTCATACTGTACGCGCGTATAACGCTAGAAGTGTAAATATCATCATAGGTTAACATGGAAAAAAGTTACGCGCGTCCGCTGCGCGTATATCGCGTACGTGCTGTAACGCGTGATGTGTAAATTAGCAGTTAGTGTTGTGACAATACTATCTGTAAAAGAGTTCCATGACTCACATGACCTCATGATGACGACAACATATCTGCTGAACTTAAAGTGTATAAGTCAGAACTACTTTCTTTCTTTCTTTCTAAGTACTTTCTTTGTTTTCTCCCTCAGATTCGAATTAAGGTTAAAAAGTCTCAGAAAGAATCCTGTTATGTAAGTGTTAATCATAATTGTTACTGGCAGTTTTTTTAATGGGAAAGGTCAACTGTAATTGTCTCGTGTTTAAGAAAATTGGAGAGGTTGTATTTGAATGATCAAAATGGCAACATCTGTTCGAGATAATGCAACAGCTCTTGAAGCGGAAATTCTGCTTTTAGTGCTCAGCTGAAAGAAAGTGGTGGAGACGTACTTCTGACGGCAAAAGTCTTAAGATGTTTATTGATTGCAAGGCTGAGGCGTGCCCATTCACACCAAAGGAAAATTGTTGGAAAATGTTTTAACTCGTGCAATCATAGAGATGTCAGATCCTTTATATAACACCAGGACATGCAGATCTTTCCAAACAACAATCAAACAGCAGGCGACACCACCGTACAGCCCAGATGAAAGACAAAAAAGATACAATTACCTCCAGCCTCGTCTCCAACAAACACTTTGACAAATCACAGCATGTTCTACTAGATTTTATAACCTAACATTATTTTTTTTAAGCCCACACTCAATACACACTTATTATGTCACAGTCGCCCCGATAGCTGGAATCCATTGTTTTTTATCACTTTAGCCTTTGTTGCTCATTGACTCTGGACATACACTTTTAGCTGTGTTGAGAACCTAAGGATGAGAAGTTTTTGTAAATGTTATAATTTATATCAATTATAGGTGCTCTATGGGGTTTTGAGTGGTAAAGTTTGACATACTTTACTGCTACACTTTTTGGCCTGGATAAACGTGGCAAGCACAATGGGAATATTTTTTTTGTTATTATTAAAATGTTGTATTACTTTTTTATATTTTTCACTGCTGATCCTGATGAGCACCTGACAAAAAATGACCAGTGTAGCGTTTGTTTTTGCTTACATTGAATACTGTTACATTTATGACAAGTTGGGGTTAACAAATAGAGCTGATTCATGAATACATTGTGTTTGTCCCAACAGTCCCAACTTGTGTGTTAATTTTTGTGGTTTCAGGATTCAGTACTCTAGCGTCAAGTGATCATGTAAAACACTACACTTACTATTTATTTTTGATACAACAAACATTTACTTTCCTTTGTTTTCAGAGTTGTTAACTAATAAACTGTTAGCAAAGCGTTAGCATAGCATTAGCTTACCTTACCCTTCATCTTTTTTTCCTCGCAGAATGTCTGCATTGATTTTGGCATCTTGTTAAAGTAAAACGCGGCACAAACTAAGTCAAACTTAAGCTGTTAAATTTCTGCTGCTTTGAAGTGAAAAAATGATGTCACTTTTAACAACCCAATAACATTCCCGCCACCATAAAACCTGCATCGTGTGCCTATAATTAACCACCAAATATTATCTTGTTGCCATATACAGAAGTTTTTAATTACATATACTCAAATCACTTAAACAAATAAAATAACATATTTTAGTTCTCAGTGATATGGGTGTTCTTAAACCTAGGACCACCAACTAACAAGTCCTTGTGAGCTGGAAGATGCATTCACAGAAAGACAAGCCATGCAAACCAGGGCTGCAAGATTAATGGAATCAAACCTAAATAACAATGTAAGTAGAATTGACAAATGAGAAGTATCAAGTCCTCAAAATTGGGTATTCTCACACTGGCAAAACCTGCAGTCTTTCACACTGAGCGGCAAGGGCTGGTATTCCATAACGACTCGGCAATGGACAATGGGTCATTTTCAGATTGATCACTCTGACCAACCAAAGCAGCCATTTAGACCTTAGCAACAACAATTTTAAACATGTTTATAGTCCGTTACAGGTGGGTTAAACACAGAAGGTTGTAAAACTGTATACAAACCACACAAGGGACAATCCTTGCACAATGATAGCGCAACAAGCCGTGGAGCTGTGTTTGGGTGAGTGAAGCCAGTTTGGTCTGTTGCATATTGTGACGTGTCTACATCGCTCCACTGTGGATGATAAACTTGCTATAGTCTATTATACTGAAAATCCCTCTGGTCCTGCATACTTTCTCTGTGACTTTAGAACACTTTAGTTTGTTTTGAAGTTTCTTTTGAATATTTCCAGTGGTGAAATGCCGACACAGGTCAACATTTTTGGCGAGCTTTCAATCAAGTATGCCAGGTTGAGACACCATTTGGTCCCCGGTATAAATACCGACCGCTGCAGTGTGAAATACCTAATTGTTTGTTGATATTCTGTTTGTTATATGATATATGATATGTTGAGGTTCTTAGACTGGTTTTCTTGTGTCTGCAGTGAAATATACAATCAAATATTGCAATTAAATGTTTTGCCAAAACCGTGCAGCCCTAGTGCAAACCCAGCACCACATTCACACCCTTTCATGCCCCATCAGGCCTAATGCAGACCATGCTTGACCCTGCTACTTGTTTGGGACTTACTCGCTGCGGCGGCGGAGGCTAGGTACGGGTGGCTGCTGCCTGCATGGGGAGACATGGGCAAGAGGGAGACGGCCAAAGATAAAGTTACACAAAATGAAAGTCAGGGCACCGCCTGGCCCTCGTCCCATCTCATTTACACACATACCTTCAGATACTGCGCCATTGTCTACACACCGGGCCTCTCTTTTATCCAAATGGAGAAGATGGGTTAGATCTGATAATATTTTCATTTTAATTAGAGCGATGAAAGCTCCACTGATCACATGCACACGCAGGCACCAGCTTCATCGAAACCAGTTGTAATTTGTTGTAATTGTGACCGAGCAATTACCAACAGCAATCAGTGGTTCGATCACTTTCCTCAAAATGAAAATCTTTGTTCAGATGTTCGGTGCCCAGCTATTTTCACATCAGACAGTGGATTTGATCATGTGAAAAGGGCCACCGGGGGTAAATGCATCATTGGTAATGCCGCTAAATGGGAACTATTCAGGCAAAAAAAGAAAATGATGCAGTGTTCATACAAAGATTCATCTGTCATCCTTTAGACTGAATTTAATGCATTTTTAAGACAAAACAGAAAGCATGTGCAGGGAATAGTCTCCACATGTTTTATCATACAGAACAGATTGGCAAAACATTGTTCGTGTGCACTGAAGGCGGCTGTACATAGGAGATATACTACGCTGTAATTAAATGCATGTGTAGGTCCTTTTGCACAGATTCCCATATTGGATAAATAAACTAAGAATTTACATGCAGGAATTTTCAGTTGTGGGATTTCTCCTTCCTCCAAAAATCTCCTCAAAAGTATGATTTCTCTCATTCACCAGATTTCATAACAACAACAAAATCATTCTAGTTCTGAAATATAATGGCACCAGAGTCGGCTACAATTGGCCCAAGTTTTAACATATACAAATCTCTTTTTGTTGGATTTTGTTTGACATTTGGCACTATTTTCAACAAAAATGCAAACAACTCATTTGCTCATCATTATTATGAAGCTCGGCAGTCAGAAATGCATGGGTTTGACCACAATAAATAGTTTAAAATAGCCTGATTTGTTCATATATAAGACTAATAATTTGATAGGGTATGTATATTTTATTCAAACATGGTGGCCCATTTTTAAGGCCCCCACCAATTTTGTTTAACTTTGTTTGAGTGGGAGAGGAGGCATGCTGTTTGGTACAGAAATGTGTGAAATAACAGCGCAGTATAACATAGAGACTGGTCTACTTTACTCATATGCACCTGATTTATTCTACTATAACCAACACATTTACAGTCAACCCAGCTGAAGATCTTTTTTTTTTTCGTGAATATTACATTTTGTTTGTCACAACAGAAATTCTCGGCTGTGAACAAATTTGAGCACAACAAGCTGTTTTCGTCGTATTCTGTAGACATCTATGAAAGAGCCCAGTGAGTCACTATTTGAGCTGAATTACCTGATCCTGTCCTTTTCACTTCTCTATCAGATCAAAACTGATGAAAAGAACTGACAGAGGTCAAAATACATACCTATGAAAACTTGTGATAGAGCAACAAACTATTTTGAGAGCTGGGAACTAGTTAGATCTATTTCATTTTAATATCTAGTAAAAAGATTTGTGGTGTGAAATTCAAGCATCCCACCTAATCATGTTATTTAGCATATTTCCAAAAAAATGAAAAGTGCAGATTTTTCCCCCTCCCATATTTGGAATAGGCTGGCTTTGATTGATTTGATTGACAAAGGCATCACCCACCTGCATCCCTGACTTTATGAGCAGCGGCCCGGGCCCTGGTGGTGGTGGTGGGGGCAGCAGTGGAGGTCGGAGCCTCGGTGGTGGTGGTGGTGGTGGTTGGAGCCTCGGTGGTGGTGGTGGTGGTGGGCTCGGGTGTGGTTGTGGTGGTGGGCACAGGTGTGGTGGGAGGAGACGTGGTGGAAACTACCTGTGTCTTGGCCTCTTTCTGACCTGAAAAGTCAATTTTGCGATAGACTTATGAGGAGCGTGTCTATCTATGGCACATGGTGTAATGCATTCCTGTCATTCTCAGGTAAACGCCACAGAGCTCACTCCTCGTTTAACCCTTGTGAACTTCAACATGCTCAGACCAATATCCCACTTCAAAAACTTTCATCAGCAGCTGGTATGTGTCCAGGTAGAAGCAGGAAGTCAGGAAGTCAAAATCAATGAAATATTTCTTGACCATAACTAAGTGAATTTAAAGAAAAAACACATTCCTTATAAACTATAAACTATCTGTGTCTTGGTGTTGTCTCTTGCCATTAGTGTCTATGTGTGTGTGTGTGTGTGTGTGTGTGCATGCGTGTGTGTGTGTGTATCTCTGTCTCATATTGCTGTCATGTGTTTGGTTGGAGCGTATTGTAGGGTTTTGATTCTTTGTTGTGGTTGTATTGTATTGTAGTATGTGTTTGATTGGACTAAAATAAGCTTTTTGCTTCGACAAATCTTTTTTCAAACCATGCACAAGTTTTCTGTTAATAATTGTTTTCATATCTTGTGCATGTTTGAAATAAATAAAAAATGCATATATACATGTATATATATATACTGTATATGTGATCATTTGCTGCCTGTTTATAGACTTCCAGAGGATACCATTATACTGTTACTATATTCCCGAGGCAATATTCCATGACTATTTTCAAGGCACTCAAAGAGAACTTTACAACTAGGAACTCATTTACAGACAAATTTATACATCATAAAAGCAGCATTAGGGCCAGGAGGATGTCTTGCCCAAGGACACAATAAAACAGTCTTTTTTTCCTCACTGCAGAAGCAAAACCGTCAGCCTCTATAGCCTCTCCTCTCTTTTACTACCACATGTATTATGAAAAAGTTGGCCCAATTCAGTACATTTTGAGAAGGCTTACTTGGTTTGACATAAGTTGGTCTTGAAGGCACATAGTCCAGCGTTGAAGGGTATATCACTCCTTTCTTAGGTTTTCCAACTGAAAAACAAAGATAACATATATTTAGAGCCAGAAGATAGACAAAACTTGAATGTGACATTACCATAAACTGTGAAGGACTCTCTCCACTTGGGCAGAGACAGAGACCTCACTCCGTTTGAGTTGGAACCTTTGTAAATGCTCTGTCCTGCCATTTTCTTCACAATCACTTTCCCTCCTGTGTTTGTGATGACTCCACTGCAACAATAAAAGCGTTAAGGTTTTTATTTTTAACTCTATATATCAGTTAATTGCCATCATTACAATAATTTCATTTGATAGATATTTAGTTATCATATTAGGTTAACAATGTAGGAATTTGTATATATCCTTTTTGGATCAAATCTGTTTAGGTGACAATAGCCACACCACTGCCACTGTGAGAAGAAACCAAAATACATCCATGGAGGAAACATGTAGAAAGTTATACACATATCTGTTTTACTAGAATCTTTTACATAGCTTTTTAGGTAACAAGCGTTTGAGTGACAACGTGAGAGGGAAAGTGCTCACAGACAGAGCGACTTTCACTATAAGCAAACAAAATATGGCATCCAACGATCTCGAACTGTTTGTACATCCTAAAATCATTTCAAATATTGAACTTTAAATTGCGTGCAAGCAGAAAAACAGCTTTTTATTTCATCATGTATATGGTAGTATGGCAAACCTACTGTATGAGATTGCCATTCTACCAAACTCAATAAATTCAATCTAAGAGATGACCATGAATTAATGCGTTTTCAGATATTAAAATCATATATATATATACATAAGGCATATGCCATAACAATAGTATATTCTTTCTTATTTAGTTACATGTATGCCTGTTTCTGTATCTATGACTGAATGCCGACAGATAACAGCCAAACCTCTCTACATGTTTTTTTTACAGTATTTTTCTCAATATTATGTTGATGTGTTTAGCTAAATCCACTTAAACTAGAGATGTGATTACAGTTACCTGTGAATAGCAGCATTGCAGATACTAGAGATGGACGCGAACACTGCTGTCCCATAGACCTGCTGCTTGGTCTCTTTGCAGTGAGCCGGACACTTCACTATGAACTCTGGGAGGTTGATTTTTCCTGCTCTGACATCACACTCGATCGCTGGCACTACTACAAAACACCAAATCACAGACTGTATTTTATATTTATTTACACACACGCATTAAAAGGTCAGTATGAATGAATGAAAGAGCATATATGAAATGGACAGAGGTGGAGTCCCAAACACAGATGTGAGATTAGAGGGAAGTGGCGGCGATGGCGGTACCTTGCTTTGGCTTCTTGTTCTTTGATCCGTTTGGTTTGGCTCGGCAGGCCCAGGACAGGAGCAGGGCTGCGGGTCGGAGGGGAAAGGGAAAGCCATATAATCACAACTGTTTACTGTTTACACAATGGAAGAAGCTATTACAGAAACCAAAGGAAGGAATGGAAGAGTTTTGAGCCCGCATGAGGTCAGGCTGGCTTCAAGTTGCTAATACAAAAAAGTGTAAGCTAGTGCAGTCATTTTTATTGTTTTGACATATGCATCTTATCATCTAATGAATCAAGATTGAAGTCTTTTGTATGAATTTACCGTCTCCCAACAGTTTAAGGACAATTTTATACAGTCATGCAATTGGAAATTTACCTGTGCATTAATTTATCCTCTTAACCCTTTAATGTTCACTCCTTGAAGAAAGCAATGTATTTTTTTCTTTTTTGGATTTTCTAAGATGTAGGAGCACTCATAAAAAAATGTTTTACACCCTAATTTGTTTAATTATTATTATAGGCCTATACCAAATGGTTGAGATGCAGTTTAATGGTAAATGTGCCAAAAACCAAGTGAGATGCCCCAAAGAGGTAGATTTCAGTTCCAAGCCTAAAGTAGATATATTGATTGGTGATCTAGCAAATGGTTGAGGAAACAATTAAAGGGATATTGTTTATACAAGGTAAAATAAATACAAGGTTTTTTCACATATTGCCAATGGTAAATCAGTTCTCTTCTTTGGAAAGAGTTCAGCAACAGTATGACATGGGAACTGTTGCGTTTGTGTTAACAAGATACCATTTCAAACGTTTTCTTCTTTTGAGAAAAATAACAATTGACACAATGCAAATGTTTTGTCACACACCAACGAACAGTGGCGTTTGTCTTCGTTCATGCCCAGAACATTATGTCAGAAGTTGACAGAGAGAGTGGATGTTGTAGCGACTCACCTAAACAGATGGCAGACAGCTGAGATCTCATGATGATTCAGATGTGTCCTAAAAGAAGCAGCACAGATACACACTGTTATCTCCGCACCAAATGATCTTCTCTTGAGCAACCCTGAACTCCATGTGACTGACTGTCTGGTAAATACTGTCGACAAGGTCCTCACTGATGTACACTTCGCAGAGCTGAAGGAAGCTAGGTCTCAGGTGGATTCTGACGGTAGCTACAGCATGACGTTATATGAACCAAAGCACAAATCAGGGTTCAACAGAAGTGCAAGTGGTGTCTACTTTAGTGCAAGCTTTGTAAAACAGTAATAAGCAAGGGAAATGTAAGTTTGTTCATCTGAAATAACAACGTTTTAAAGTAATGTTTTATATTTTCCCATGTCGCTTATACCTGCTGTTTATACAGTGTATGCATATAGGAGTTCAGAATACAACATGGCTGAGGTGATGAGACGAGAAGGATTTCTTATTCAATTCCAAGGCCTTTAGGCCCATAGATTAGGGTACTAATCAATCGACCAATGTTTATTTAAAAACCTGTGCAAAACAATTTCACCGAACAAATTATAGAGTCGAAAAGGCTTGGAGATTCTTATCCATGGTCCTTACACTCTGTTAGACTACTGAAAGGACCTGCTCACTGGTCTCTACAAACGAGCTGCAGTATGTTCAAAACACTGCAACTCAAGTCCTGACTAGAACCAGGAAGAACAACCACATTAGTCCAGTCCTCAGGTCTCTGCACTTGCTTCCTGTGGCTCAGAGAATAGACTTTAAAACAGCTCTGCTTTAAGTCTCTCCATGACATTGCACCAAAGTACATAAGTGATGTGTTACGGGCCATACTGTATGAACCAACTAGGACTCTGAGGAGCACCGGGACTGGCCTCCTAAACATGGGGAGGCAGCATTTCAGATTTAGGCAGCTGAAATCTGGAACAGTCTTCCTGAAAATGTGAGACAGGCTTCAAATGTTCAAATGTAGGTAAAAGACAGTTCTGTTTAGCTGTGCATACAACTGAAGGATTGTATTTTAGTTATGCTGTTACTGCATTTTAATTCATCTTGTTTTATAAAGCACTTTGAGTTGCCTTGTGTATGAACTGTACAAATAAATGTGCCTTGGCTACGTACATGTTTTGAAAAGGTGTTGGATGAAGCAAACACTTATAAACTTCCAAACATAACAACAACAAAATTGCAACAGGAAACATGAAGTGCTCTGGAAACCATTTTGGTTTAATCATCCCCTTGAAGATTATGTTATTGCAATCATTTGAGTCATTCACAAGCCAACGCATGGAAAAGCATAACCGCCTCCACCGAAGACACATATAACTGGAATGACACATAAACAGCCTCTGGTCCACTTTCCACAGAAGTTCTTCAGAAACTGGAGCGCTCAGAGGAAACCCAAGTTTTGATAGTAAGTGAAAAATGTCTACCTAAACAACATTTTAATCAAGAATGTTTGATGTTTTCTGTGCATTTCGTCCTAATCCTCCCATATCTTTGTGAGTTACTGTAATATATGTTTTTCTCAGACACACAGACAGACAGACTAAAGAAACAGAGGAAGGTAACAAATTGACCTACTATTCTAAGACAAGACAAAGTGGCTACGGAGCGTTTAAGCCTGAACATGTCACGTCCTCTGCAGTCTGAATGACAGCCAGAAGCTCACATGTAACCGACATACACAGGACTGTACTTTGTCAATGCTTTTGTTTGACTCTGCAGACCACATCAAAGTTTGACATGTTTACAGTAGACGGCCTCTGCCTTCCATTCTCCATTCATTCATGTAAAAGCATAAATCACAGCGATAAGGGCAACAGAAGTGGGTCAGGGCCGTCTCCACCTGCTTAATGATAAACGACACATTCAGCATTATGGTATTTCTCTGTGTTGTGGAAACCCTCAGAGCAACATAGAGCCGTGCACAAGTTGACCTCCTACACAGCCTGAGTCTTGTCTGTCATTACAACACGCCCACAACTGAAGGCAAGAAGTGCAAATACATCAGTAAGCAAATAAAAATGCCGTATTGACATGAGCTCACATGACGATATACTGTACGGTTGAACGCTGCAGTGATTGAGTTGGAGAATTAGTTTTATGACACGTAAACTCGTGTTGGGAGAAAAAAATGCATTATTATCAGAATTTTACTGCTAATGCAAAATTACCCATGCCTTAGACCTGGATTTAGATAGAGATAAGATTGGCCAGACTTATTCTATGGGGAAATGTGAATACATTGTTTTGCACTGTTCTTTCTACAAAGAGAAGGAAGAAATAGACAACTTGGTTACTTTGAACCTCCATGTGACTCAACATCAGGAGTCTTCTCAAATCAATGCAGTAGTTCTCAACACAAGGCTCACACCATAATATTGTGAATTTGTGATGCAATGGATTCAATAAATGGACACTATATCCTGCAATTTATCACATTTTATAAACCAGTTACATTTGTTTGATTTGCCCTGGTCTATTCTTTTATCCTGTATTTTGATATGACATTTATTTTGATCTTGATCTTGAATCTTCTTCACTTAAAACAGACATTATGCAACTTTTTAATGTGAATGAAAAGTCTAAATCTTTGCACATTTGACCTTGTGGTGGTCAGATATGTAGTATGAGTGGTCAGCGTGGTGCCTTTACTTTCCATCACAGTGGTCTGAGTATGATGCGATGCAAATATTTGTTTGGAAGGATTTCTCTGCTGACGAACCCCTCACCTGAAATCCTACAAAAACAATTGATAATGAATTAATTGACAAACCCAAGATCAAAAGTTAAGGCCCCATGCTGACCACTCAAACAACCGCTGGGTCACTGCAAAGTCAAATACTACTTTTTGCACAAATTCTGCTCTGTAAATTGATTGATAGATGTATGCACTAGTAGCATTTGTAGTAGCAGTTGTTGCACTTCCAAACTATAAGTGTACCAAAAAACTTACGGTCATATGTCAATGCAGCAGCAACTCACAAAATCCTTACAGCATCAACCAATGATATTATAGCTCAATTTTGCAGCCCAAATATCAAACTGCAATTTTGAATGAGCACTGTCACAATAACGTAATAATGTATTTTGAAAATGCTCAGCAGTAGTTCACTCTTTTGCCTGTGGGCGTCATCTAACAGTTTGATTGAAAACAAATGCCACACACAATAGATCATAAAGTCCTGTTTTATTTGACGACTTTTGGCAGACGGCGCTGAGGGCTCTCTCATGTGAACGTAATCACTGACATGAATTTTCCATTGAACCTGACAGAAACATCACCTACAATTTGTCATTAGAAGGGAAAAAAAATGACAGCCCTTGGGCAAGCTGGGGCAAATCTTATCAGCAAAGGACCAAAGAAGACAGACAAGTTTGTACAGTATGACACAAGGAGCTGGGTTTTATTTGATCATGCAATTGACCTCTTTTGGTTAATGTATCAGTTTCTTACCGTATGGAAGGAGATGCTGATCTGCCGCTTCAGGAGATAAGTTCAATGATTTCTTTCTACTTACAGTAAGAGAACTGTCTAAATAACGTGGGAACAAATATTGATTCCATCTAACTGGTTCCTAGATGATTCAGAAAGGTCATTTTCTCTTGTTGTGTAGAAATGTTATTTTGTAGAACATTTAGAGAACCTGGAGTGATCGATAAATACCAAGTTAAATTAAATTCGGTCTCTTTGCATTGGTGTATGTTACCCACTTATTCCAACAAAAATCAAAGTTTTGTCACTAGTTTTCACTTTTTTCCCTTTGTCACAGATCGTTGACAAGTGAAAAATAGAAAACACAGCTCAGCCAATCAGCTCTCAGCACAAAGGGTCAACTATGGACTCACAGCGGCTCTTTGTTAAATATTTGCAATATAAAATATAGAGCAATATATGATCATGACAGCATGTTGTATCTAATTTGTGCACTTATTAAAAGTTTTTGTAGTGGTCTCTGTAGTACATGCCTCTACTCCCTGCTGCAAATTCTGCACTGCATCACTATAGCCCAGTCATTTCTCAACCCTAATTTTCATTATTCAAAAACTAGCAGAAATATCCCTTTTCAAGAGTTAATGCTTTACAGTTTTTCTACCACTCCAAGTAGTAGAGTTGCTTGACTCCAGGAAGAATAGCTGTGCTGAACAGCTAATGGAGATCAAAATAAATAGATAGAAAGTGAGCTACACATCTGTTTGTCCTCTACTTTAAACCACACAATTACAGAAAATGGCTCACATTTGTGCTCTTCATCTTCTTTTTGTAAATTATTTTAAACACAGTCTTGTCACAATGATGAGAAATATCAAGTCAACTCAGGTCACAAAACTCCAAGTCCAATTAAGTTCAACTCAAATAAATTCAATTCATTTTGTGTAGCCCTAAATAACTAGGAGGGGAGTTGTTGAAAGATCAGTTAATAAAATTGTTCGAACACAGGATGCACTATAAAAACAAACACATAGGAGCCTTTTGACCATAGGGACCAATGACCAATGTCCATAAATGTCAAAAAATGTCCATAACTCTTCATATATCCCGGTACATCACTATCCTTAGACTCTTTTTCCAATGGCAAGGAACGACTCAAAAAAAAGAACAAGAAAAATTGCAACAAGGACTAAGGACTAAGTCTATCAAGGCTGGGGCTTCACCTGTTGTGGTTAAACAAAACGTCTTACTGCACATTTGCGCTCTTACCCCAAACAATCCATACTGCACAATATAAAACACCAAGAAAACATACATGACAAACATTCTGTATCAGCTGGTGCACGCAGACAAAAAATGTCAATAATCTGAGACATCTTAATTTCTATTCTCGCTGCAAGCCTCTAAGTGCCCCCTTCTCGTGCAATGAAAAGCAAATGATATCCTTGGACAAACACGTCTGGGAGTTTCCTGTATGGTGCATATAATAGATCCTCAGAGACCTCAGCCACACATTCAACTACAGTGAATGGAGCGCAAACAAACGGGACAAAATGTGGCCTGGCCTTTCTTATGCT